ATGCTGGAAATCCTCACCAAGCTGCTTTAGAAATCAGATACAGAACACCATGCCTGTTTATGTGTCACACTCAAACGATCTGATATGAGAAGAAAGTCAGAATTGTAACGCCGTCGGTTATACTAACTCGGATATTAAATATAAGTTTCGTAAACAAATGTTAGCTTCTACTTCAGTTTGTTTCCTTTTAACAACATAAAATGGAACCAATTAACTTTAGTTTCTTTTGGTGAAGGAAACTCCCACCTCACGTACGATTTTATTTCGATATTATTTGTTGAGAATCTTGATTCTTGAGATTGAATATGTTGTGTTGTTCTTCCAATGTGTTAGTACTAAAAAATTCAAGATGATCTTTAAACTCTTACACTGATTATTTTTCCAAAACTAAGTAAAGTATTCGACAATAATCTCAAAACTATTTGTTTATTAAGGTAAATGTATTTTCAAATGATATACGCAAAAAGTTAAAATTCATTGTAATTCGAAGTTATGGGTTGTGATACACTGAGTTGGTAAGCCAAAAAGTTCTCAAAATAGAAGAGTAAAAATGGCATTTTATATGTCCTGATATAGTAATCATGATTAAGAGTAACCAGTGATTGTACATTTGCCTCATTAAGCATTTAAGTGTGATCTTATATAGTTACATTGAACACGTGTCAAAATAGTAGTGATAAAATGGTGAAAGTTACAAAGAGTACAACAATTTCAAGCTAGAGAGAGGCAAATATGCAATCAAAGATAAAAGGTAAAAATAAGATTTAATTTATGCATTTATAAGTAACTAGCTACTTTTATAGTTTGAAATATTTTGTTCTCATCAAACACTCTTTTAAAATTAATTGCTATACAGTGATGGATTGATAAAATTGGAAGACAAGGTCAAACAACCCTTCAAATATCTGGGAAGACTCTCCCGGGATTGAAATTTGGGAGCTACGATGGGAGTTATGAGATCGTTGTGATATGAATATATGAAGATTTTTGTAGAAAGCGTCAGCATAGAGACTAGAGAGGCGGTGTTTGGCTAGGAGGCTGGAGGCGCGGAAGATTTATAAGCGATTGGGAGTTTGAAGTTATTGCTTAATCAGTATGATGAAGTGGTGGTGCGATAATGGGAAATTGGGGATGCAGTTTTGGGCAGACCAGGTGTATATCATGGTTGATTTTTCTTATGCTTCGGTGTAATTTTTTCAAAAGTTAGTGTAAAGTAACAACAAAATACTAAAGTCTAACTTTTTTATTTTATTTTTACATCAAAATTAAACATATATATGCAATATATGTTAGTTTTTTACTAACAAATAATGTAAATGCATTTTTAGAAACAACGTCAAATAATGTATCCAAGGTGCGACGAATACCATGTGGAGATTCTTCATTGGTCTAATGGTAATATAGTAGTTATGATATCATCATTTATGAATATTAATAATTAAAGTTTATATATAAAATATGGAACTATTATAATGTCGCACATGCTCTAAAGTAGTCTCGATAATCATGTTTTGCAAACAAAAGATCTAACGGGAACAAGTGGAGGAGAAAAGGTGTTGATACCAGGGAATAGGGGTGGACATATGCAATTTGGTTTGAGTTCGGTAGTATTTCTTTCAAACCATATTAAATCGACCTAAACTGAAACCGATAAAAACTGAATCGAACTAAAGAAATTCAATGAAACCTTCATATATTATTAAAAAATAACAAATCCAAACTAAACCAAACCGAACTAAACTGAACCAAACTGAAAAATAATATAGTTTTTATTTGGTAATAATTCTTCCAACCCGTTCAAAATCGAACCAAACTCAATAAAAACTGAACCGAACACTGATGCGTCCACCACTACCAAGGATATGATGTCGTCTTTGACTCCCTCAGATATGAGGCTACCTTTCTAGTTTCAAAGAAGACGATATCCTTTAATGGTTTCATACACTATGACAATTAACAAAAGTCAGGGCAATCCGTTGTCAAATGTTGTTCTATTTTTTTACAGAAATTAGTTTTCACTCATGGTTAATTGTATGTTGCTCTTTCGTGTGACACTGATCGTGTTGGATTGAAAATTTTCATACATGACAAAGATGGTAATGATACTAATGTAACCAAAAATATTGTATATAAAGAAGTGTTTCAAAATTTATAAAACATTCATTTATTACATTTATGGATTTGTAATTCAATTTGGAATTGTGAAGATTGAGTTGACAAACATATTTGGAAATGCAATTATCCAAGAAAAATATGTCTCGTGCATCGCACGGGTATTATACTAGTAGTGATAATAATAACACTTTTATAATTAATTATTATAGAAACAACTTACAATAATAGCATAGGAATATTAATGTTAATATAGTGTGATAATGACATAATGTTATTATTATTAATATTAATAGTAAGAACGCATAATTTTTTATTTATAATAACATACAAATAAAATTTAAAATAATAATAATAGTAATAATAGTAATAATAGTAATAATAGTAATGAGTAACAATAACATGTAGTAATAAGAACAACAATGCAATACTAATAATGATAAAAAAAACTTACAAGAAGTGATAATAACAACAACAACAACAACAACAACAATAAAAGTAACAAATTTTGTATATTTTTTTTCTAATGGAATCTAAATGTATTAGTCTGACATGAATTTTTATGATTTATTCTGATATGATCTAATTGAATTTGAATAAAATAAGAATAAACGTTAAACAACAAGATTAAGAATGAATCAACTTCTAAATCAACTAAGGCTATGTTCGGGAAGCCAAATCAGCTCAAAATGGGCTGAAATAATTTTAGTTCTGTCAATTATTTGATAGTAGTCTTGTTTGGCAAAAGAGCATTTATGCTAGCGTTTATGTTCAGACTATTGAATAATATATACACTCATGTTCCCTAATTATCCTCCCCTCCTGCCTTTTGTTTCTCATTGATCAACTCTCTCACTGGTTTTCTTCACGGCCAACACACTCCTCCTCCCTCGCTAACAAATGAGGAGTATGTTTCTTAAAGCAGTCAAAATCGGAGTGGATTTCAGCGGCACAAGCAGAGATGGCGATTGCTACTCTTCAGAGTTCAGTGCACAAAACTTGTGCGATCTCAAGCTTCGGTGCAGATTGGAATGACCGACGACGAGTTTCTTCCTCACCCTCTCCGTTGTTGCAAGACTTTCTGGTGTCGAGAGCAGTGATGGAATAGGAGCAGACGAGTTCAGGGACATTGGCAGAGGAGACAAGAACGTTGGGCATTAACTTTCGTAATGGCTTAGGTATTCTGTTCCGGAAGCCAACAGAATACCTCTAAGGTCTTTTGTTCGGAAGGCACCAGAAGAGCCCAGAGGTCTTCTGTCCGGAGGCCAACAGAAGAGCCCTGAGGTCTTCTGTCCGGAGGCCAACAGAACTCCCCCACGAGGTGTTCTGTTCTGTAAGCCACCAGAATACCTTACAAGGTGTTCTGGTATGAAGCTTTCTGTCCGGAGCAGTTCTGCCGGTCTAGAAAAAATTAAGGAACGTTACGGAAAGAAACAAAAGTTAAATCGTATCTTTGAATGATAGATTTTTCGGACGGCATTCGTGTCCGCAGGTCACCCGCGCACACGAGTCGCGGTTTTTCTCCTCCGTTTTCGGGATTTGATCGGCACCCCCTCTGCGCGCAAGAGAGAGTCTTTACCTTTAGAAATCTTAACTCCTTAAAAGAGGCTTCCCTTTATAAGGGGGTGAAAATCCCTTGAGTTTTCCGGTGTGGTACAAAACACACTAGAAACTCATCATTTTCTCAGTTTTTCCATTTCAACGAGTGAACTTCAAGAATCAATTTCTCATTCATCCGTTATCCGTTTTGAGCGTACCATATATCGAATTGTAGCCCTTAACAAGGACAATCCGAAACCACTTTGACCCGACCTAAATCGAAACTGGACCCCACTCAAATAATTGCCCCAAAATGACCATTTAATGCAATTTTTAACACATTTTTCCAACATCTGCTACTCTTGTACACACAATGCAGAAGAGAAGGAAACGTGCTAGGCAAATCTTCATACCGGGTTTCATGTTTCTGATCCCACAGGAATTATATACGAGTACATAGTACTACCTCCTTGCCGGTGGAGTTTGCGGTTTGCCAAGTGCAAAGTAGGTAAGAAATAAGAATAGTAAAAATTGTGTGGTTGAGATTTGTGCAGGGGAGAGAGAAATGTGCAGAATCACAAATTAGTTGTTTCAATAGGAAAGTGGCAAAGTTTTTTGGGACAACCAAAAGGGGAAAGTTGTCAAAGTCCAATGGGATGCAGGGAGTATATAACATGTCGTATATATTTATTCTAAAATCTTAATATTTTTTAAAATATAAAAATCATTATAATAAATGCTTTATTTCATTAATAATTATGTCCTTTAATGTAATTTCATACTACGTATTATCCGGACACCTTTCACCTCTTTTTGCCAAACGGATTTACTCCATTCAGCTAGTAATTCAGGTTCAACATTTTAGAGTTCAACTCCGATCAATAGTCTCTTATTCAGACAATAGTTCCTGCTTCAGACATCAGCCTCCAATTTCAGCTTGTGCCAAACATAGCCTAAATTTATACTACTGTTATGTACGATGGCCGGTAAGAACGTGAGATGATAAATAATAGGGAAAAAGTGCAAATAAACCCTTGAACTAACCGAAAAAGTGTAAATAACAACTTTTATAGAAGGCGCTGTCTGGCCGTCCCCATTTGGGGCGGTTAACGGTGGAATTTTTTGATGATTTTTTTTAACATCTTCTTCATTAAGTGAGTTTACCCATACCAAATTTCAGATAAAAATTCAACTGGGAAGGAGGTTAAATAATTTTCTGAAAATATACTGTGTTATTTAATTGCACAGTTATCTTCAAACATTTATTTGACTGCTTTCACGATTGAATTTTTAGCTGAAATTTAATATGAATAAACTAGATTTAAAGAAAAGTTCAAAAAAGGTGATTTGCAATTTTTAGTTAGTTACAAGGCTTATTTGCCCTTTCTCACTAAATAATAATGCACCCAGAAATCGCCGCCATCCAACCATGGCTGCTGCTGCTGCATTTGCTGATTGCCGTTTTCCTGTATGCCGTACTTTCGCCGAGAAATCTCGGCTTTTCTCTTTCTCACGGAGCACAATCACGTGCTCACCTCATCAGACAAGTAAAGTGTCTGTTGCTGCTTCTGTATCGTTCACCCAACTTCGAGGTCTGTATTATCCGCTCAGCATCACCTCAAATTTTCCTTTTTCAAGATTGCTTTTATCACGATTCGAATTTAGTGGGGTAATATGCCAAATTCATCCAGGACTTGGTTTCGCTGTCGAGAGGAATCGAAACCGGTCAGGTTTTTCACGGAACTCGGCCGTCCGTCAGTTGACTGGTTCTCTCACCGTTGCAGAGGGCCTCCGATTTGCGATTGTCCGTACTCTCTGAATTTCACTCGTTTTATTCCCTCTCTCTGTCACCGAGTAGTTTTATGATTTTCATCAATGAATTTTAAGTATCCATTGAAAACTGGTTTGAAATGAAGGGAAACCGCTTAGACTTCATAATCTTAATTGTAAGTTTTTCTCACACAGGATTGAAAATTGCATTGGTAAGGGGGTCAGTTTCATATGTCCAGCTATCAAAATTTAGATTCTTTACAATGCAAAATGTTAAAATTAATTTTCCTCCTTATGCGAAGAACTCGTTGTATCCTTCTACTATTAATCAACGAGTATTATTAAGGTGTGTGATGGGGTGCATTTAGCTTCTCTTTTGACATGTATGTGTTGGAACCTTACCAAATGAAGGTGGTGGCACGTTTCAACGAAATTATAACGAGGCCACTTTTGGAGGGGGCTTTGGAAACTTTCAAGAAATACTCTGTCAGAGAAGAAGATGTTGATGTATGTACTTGTTCCTGTTATCCTCATATCATGGAATTTAATAAGCAATATTGAACTGCTTGAGTATCAAATAATTAGGCTGCTAATTTGATTTTTTGTCTTGCTTAATGATGTGCATGAAATGGAGTGAATCCGAATTATATGCAACTCCATTCCCCATGTGGCTAGACATTAATTTATCCATAATATATTTTCACCATCAAAACATTTTATTTCATCTCAATGTCTTGACAACTCTTTGGGTAATGTGATGTGATTGCTTAAAAGAAATAAATATTTATACATGTGGCAATTGATGTGTTGATGCAGGTTGTATGGGTTCCAGGTAGTTTTGAAATAGGTGTGGTTGCAGAGAAGCTGGGAAAGTCAAGAAAGTATCACGCAATCTTGTGCATCGGTGCTGTGGTAAGCAGCTCCCTCCATCACAATTGTTTTTTCTGTTTCAGAACATTTTCCCCTGTAGCAAACAATCATGTTGTGCAGTGGGATACTCTGGACCCCATGGGATGGGCCAATAAACAAGCCATTCATTTTATTTATGACAAAGAAAATTTGCACGTCAAAAGACAGGTTTTCACCAAGCCCCCAACTCAGTGTGGGTTCTTGCCCCGGTGCCCGAGTTGGTCACCGTAGCTCCACCCCTGGTGTTGTGCGCTCGCGCGTCAAAATTATTTGTTACTCATTTTCTCCTTTCGCATGTTTGAATCTTCTGGTTTGCAGATTAGAGGTGATACTACTCATTATGATGCTGTTTCTAATTCAGCAGCATCGGGGGTGCTTTCAGCAGGTCTAAGTTCAGGTGGGTATGCATGCAATGTTTTGGATCTTTTTGCTATTTTTTCTTGTATATTGCCTGAACTTTGTTAAAGTGTGGTGTGCTTTTGCATCTGTTTGAGATTTGAAAACATGTCTTTTAATCTCAAATCGATTTGCTTGTGTTCTTCTCCGTCATCCATTAAACTCTCGAGATTGCTACTCCCTTCGTCCCATAAAATTCTTCCCACTTACCATTTTGGGATGTTTTAAAAAATTCTTCTCATAAACTCCGATCCAAGTCAAACCGGGAAGAATTTAATGGAACGGAGGGAGTATTTTTTTTATATGATGACTCTACATATTTGATTTTTGTGCTCTGATTCCATACAAATATTATTTGTTTAATTTGTCCATGCAATGAGTTGGACGATTGTGTCCTTGATTAATATTCTAGCCATGAAATGTACTAATGTAAGCATAATACTTTTATAATAATATGCAGGTGTTCCTTGCATATTTGGTGTCTTGACATGTGAAAATATGGAACAGGTAAATGCGTTAATTGATTTTATTTTCTATCACGACATGTATATAACTAAAATACTTCCATCATACTTTATGAGCACCCCACACAGCCTACCCTTGTTTGTAATTGAGTGCAGGCATTGAATCGTGCTGGAGGCAAGTCTGGCAATAAAGGCTCTGAAGCAGCGTTGACAGCGGTGAGTTGGTTTTTTTTTTCCTTTCTGTTTTTTATAGAAAAGTAGCAAAAGTGCTTTTAAAATTGTTTTCCCCTGTATTTCTCCAGTTTTATTATTCACTTCTGAGAAAGCCCTCTAAAATTGGGTTGGTGTTCTTATTGTTTCAGATTGAGATGGCATCTCTGTTTGAGCATCACCTCAACAATTTACAATAGGAGTTTTCCCGAAATTGAGGGGTGTATGGCATACCGTGACTTATGCAGTGGCAACATTTCCATCTCTACATTTGATAGCTTCTTCAAAAATGTAATTTATGTTGTACCAACTACCAACTGCCAAGTCAAATCCCGGTTTCATAGGAATAATGGAAGGGCATTGTTATGAGGATATGGTAACCCCTTATTAGCTTATCAATCAAATTTTTACAAACCACAACTTTTGATATTGTTTTATGAAAAAATTCCACTTTTGATCTCATGACTATTATGCCACTTCCATATTAATCCCCTGAGTTTCAGTTTAATCAAATGTAGTCCTTGACCTTTTCCACGTAACCACCTGTGGTCCTTCCGACCACAATTCCGGCTAAATTTAACCGGAGCTCAATTAACGAACATTTATTGGGGGCATTTTAGTAAATTTAAATTACAAAAACGGTTACCTAATAAACTACTCAATTAAGTTAACTTAATGGTGAGCTAATACCGTTGTCTCCCTCTACCTCAAAAACCGAACTCTCTTCCGCCTGGACCCGTCTTGAGAAAGCTTCCTTTAGCTTGAGAAATCCCCAAAACCGTTCAAACAATGAGGACCTGTCTGGACCGGCAGAGTGAAGGAGAAGGAACAAGTCTTGAACGGCGTTCTCCAACAAATGTTGGTGATAAAGGTAAGAGGATGAACTTTTTTAAAAGAGTGGAAGAAAATAATGAATATAAGGTTGAATTGAGGTTTATATATACGGTGTTTGCAGTGTCTGCACATGTTAGGGGGTTTATGTTGAGATTCCCTTTTCCCTTTTCCCTTTTTTCCCTTTATTCCAAAACATGGTAGGGTAGGCATGTGTTTTTTGGCTTAGATTCCCCTGGTCGGTTGTCTTTAACCATTTAAGACATGGGACCAGTTCACATTTATCTTTACACAAGCTTAGACCCATTTATGGTGTTGTGTTAACCTTTTAAACAAATTATTGACCTCATTTATAAAACAGGTGCAACCAAGTGTGGCAACACTTTTACTTTGAGGTTGTTTTATGGAGGAAAAGTAAATCACATGGATAAACCTTCATACTTGGGAGGGTCAATCCATTATTTTCATGATGTAGAGGTTGATAAGTTTGGTTTGATTGAGTTGAATGAGATATTACAAGAACTTGGTTGCACCAAAAAGGTAATGACTGTGTATTCCTATTCACATGAGAATGAGTCCCTAAAGCAACTAAATAATGAGGCAGAGGTTTGGGGGATTGTGAATGATGGAAATGTTGGTAAGGTGGTGGAGTTTTGGATAGAATTAGAACCTAGTGGTGACACTGAAGATGATGATGACCCTGAAGATTGTGACTTCAGTGAGAACGACTTAGAACACTTTTCTGGGGATGAGGATGACTCTGATTTGGAAGACTTCATTTCTAAGGAAGATGTTGTGTTGTCTACTCATGGAGGGTTAAACAGCAGTAGTGAAGGAGATGAAAATGTTACCGAAGCTTCAATGGTGGATCCGGATCCTAACTTGTCTGATGATGGTTCCATACATGAATCTGACACTAACTCTGAGAAGTGGACTAAATTATGTGCCAAGACTGATATGAAAGACCCTACCTTTACACTGGGTTTGACATTTGGCACCAAACAGGAATTCAAAGAAGTTGTGGAAAATCATGCATTTAAGAATGGTAAAGAGGTGAGGTTTGTCAAAAATGATAAGGAATGGGTTGTTGTGGAATGCAAGCTGATGGATAGTCTACCCGGGGGTATATATCCGAAGCGTTATTACGGGGAGTAACTTAGAGAGAAGTCAGAGCAAGTAAGTAAAAGTAGAGAGAAAATGTATTATAAATGCGGAGTGTTTTCAGCGTGTTATGACTTGGTTACAAATGGGGAAAAGGGGTGCTATTTATAGTAGCAATAAATGCCGGGCAGGGACACGTGTCAAGCGCTCATTGGCCGAGGGGTCACCTCAACTGGTTGGCGCTGGCAGCCGCATGTGGCCGCATTTAATGCGGCTGTTGGATGGGACGTCTGTGCGGGGTACGGTGATCTGTACGCATGTGAGGCGGATATCTTGTCGAGTGAGATGCTTTCGGCTATAGAGCAGTAGCCGAGGGCTCTTCCACCCGATGGCACCCCTGGTGCCGAGGGCTCACAGTGCCGAGGGCTGCCGTTTTCGCCGTTTTCTCCCAGTTTCTTAGTTTGCTTGAGAAACCCGTTCTGTGAGAATTTGGAGCCTTCATCCAGGGGGCCGAAGGCACCCCTGGCGCGTAGTGCGGACTGGCTGGTACTCTGGGCGCTGTGATTTGGGCCTGTTGGGCCTTCTGGGTCTGTTGGGCCTTCGCTGGAGTAGTAGGAGTCTGTGGGCCGGGGGTTCCCGGGCCATATACTCCATCAGGAGTCCCTCACTTCTTTTGCCGAAAGGTATTTGAGGGAAAAGGAGTAATTTGTGCTCGCTCTTTGATGTTGTCCCGTCGTGATCTCTGAAGTTGGTGAGGAGTTGTTGCTTTTATGTCCCTGCCGAAGGCAGTCCCTCAGTTACCCACATGTCGGGACTTGAGGGTTTGCTTTGTTGTTTGTTGGAATTTCACAGATTTTGTAATTTAATGATTTTCCCGAGGGGGTCCTCCAGTCCCCCACTCCTTGAGGCACTTGTAAAGTGGTGAAAAGGAGTAAAGTAGTGACGTTGTTGTTGTGGGCCGAAGGCTGACGCTTTTCGTTTCATTTTGGGGGGATGCCTCGTTAAAAACCTCATTAGGAAAAACCCTTTGGGAAAAAAAATCCTAATGAGGGAAAAAGAGTGCACCGAATTCCCCCAATAATGAATCGAAAATGTCAAACCTTGGTACAAAGTGGAGAATGACGGGAATGCCGAAGGCTCTCTCCTCTGAGGGCTCCTGTGTTGATTAGCCGGAGGCTTGCTGTTGATGTCCTGGTGGCGCCGAAGGGGAGCCCCTCAATCCAGGGATCGAGGGCCTGCCAGATGAGGGCAGCAGTGAAGTTGTTACCGGGGGGTCCACTGTTTGTTGATGAGTTGGTGATGAAGATACCCGAGGGCCATGGGCCATCCGTCAATGAGGCACTCCCCAGGGGCTACCCGGTTTTGCAGTGCTGAGGGGGAATCCCCGAGGGGGTGTCCTGATATGAAGCCCTGGGTTTCTGAAGGAGTGATCCCGAAGGCGTGTGTAATGTGCTGTGTGGGGCACAACCCGGGGGCACTTCTGGGTGAGTGCACCCGGAGGCTATCCTTGATGAAGTGGAGTGAAGTAGAAAACCCGGGGGCTTCCAGAATATAGCCGTTGGAAATATAGCCGTTGGAATATGTAACGACAGGATATAGCCGTTGGGGGGGTGGCACACGTGGCGTGTGATGGCTGGCTGTTCGTGGGCGGCGTCACCGGTTGGGTGAAACGGCGGTGTGTAATGATGGCGGTCCGTCCGGAGGCCCGGAATCCAGGCCCAAGCCCGGATTCATCGCCTATAAATACCCCAAGGCCAGAGCCATTTCCCCTGTGCGAACTCAGTTGTCTTAGCGAAGCTCTGCCAAAAAATCTAGTGAGAGAAACTCCAGCCTTCGGTCCTAACTCAGCTTTCGAGGTCAGTGCTCCCTGCCTTTCTCCTTCTAGCATAGCTGTACTGTGCCCTCGGTTTAGGAGATAGAATTCACTAGAAACCTTAGTTCCCCCGAACCCTCGAGCTAGAGATAGAATGTCGTCTCAGAGTGACTCTCAGGACATCTCGAGGACGCCCTCGATGGAGGACGAAGGCATCTCCGACGTGGAGTCCAGTAGCGCTCAGCCCTCGGAAGGTGGTGATGCAGCCCTCGCCACTGAGGTGCAGAAGGATCTGATGGCCGAGGCCGAGGCGGAGGAATTCGAGCGGACCGCGGAAGATGAGGAGTTGGCCCTCGCCGTCCAGATTGCTGAGGAGGAAGAGGAGAAGGAGAGGGCGAAGGTCACTGTGGCCGTCCTTCCCCCTCGGGGTGCTGGTGAGGCCAGTACCTCCCAGCCGCTGAATGCAGTTCCCATCCGGGTGGCCCCCGGGAAGAAGAAGAGGAAGACGAAGGCTGGCCCCCAGAAGAAAGTAAGGGCCGTCGATCAAGGGGGGCCAGTAGATCTGCCGGAGGGTTACTCCTTCCTGGACACCGCCGCTCTGGAGATTAAGTCCCAAGCTGACAGGGCGGATATCTACATCACCCAGTTGCACGTAGGGCCTTCGGCCGTAGTAGTCGAGCCGGGTCCTGATGACGTGCTGTCGCGGCCTCCCGAGGGATGTATAGCCGTGCACGTGCTCTCGGTCTCAATGGGCCTCCGGTTCCCTCTCCATCTGTTCCTCCGGGAGTACCTGAGGTACACCGGCCTGGTTCCCTGCCAATTGACCCCCAATAGCCACTCGTACATAACTGGGTTCGTGAACCTATGCAAACTCCGGGGGGTTACACCGAGCTTGGAGCTATTCTTCCAAAGCTTCAACCTATGCCGGGGGGGCCATACCAATGCCGAGGGCTATGCGAACTTACAGCAGATAGCCCAGTTCAAATTGTTCACCGAGGCCCCTTCTTCCAACAAGGGGTGGAGAGAGCGATGGTGCTACCTCAGACTGGCCGACAGCCCTTTCCCGAGGGAGTTGCGGAATTGCTTTCGGCGTCATGTGAAGGTCAAGAGCGCCGCCCTCGAGAAGGATGGCCTGAAGATTGCCGAGATTCCGGAGGGGCGGGATAAGAACATAACCATCAAGGAGTGCATCCTCGAGAAAGACCTGTACGCCCTCGGATTCCTGAGGTATCGGTTCATTGGGGAGACCGAGGAGAAGTATCCCCTCTATGATAAAGCCTTCGTGGGAGCAGGAGGTAGTGGCCGGGGGCTTTACATTTTTGTACTTCGAGATTTTCTGTCATGTTTGCTGTCGTGTCTCGGACCCCTCGGTGCTAACCTTTTAACTTGTTGTTTCTTTGCAGGTAGCAGGATGAATGCCAACGCCCTGTTCGCGAAGAGGAAAGGCAAGACCCAGCCGAAGGAGAAGGGGCCCTCGGGCTAGAAGCCAGCCGACGCCTTTTTCCCGAAGGTCGTAGAGCCTTCCGCCGGGGACGCCCATGCTGCTGTGGGGACCGGGGGGTCGAAGGCCGAGGCGGCCGCTAAGAAGAAGAGGAGCAGCGACAAGGGGGTGGAGCCCCCCACCAAGAAGCAGAAAGGCGCCGTGGGTGCTGTCGGGGGGCGGCCCCCCTCATAATTATTGATGACATGCCTGCTGTTGATGGGCCTCTAGCCTCGGTCCCTCCGAAGGATCCGGTGAATCCCCCCGGGAGAAATTACCCCGGGAGATCCGTCAGCTCTCCTTTGCCCCCGGCGCTTCCCTGATGCATGGTACTGCCGAGCCGAGGAGCTTCCTTCGGGGCATCACCTCGAAGATGGACAGGGAAGTCTTCGAGACCTACGATGATGATGCCCTCGAGAACAGGATCCTCCGGTCCTCTCTCACTGTAAGTATCTGCTTCCTTTTCCCTTATCTTATCAGTTTAGTATTATCTTTCCCCGTGGAATAATCTAACTCCTTTGATCGTCGTTTGCAGGCCTGCATAGCCCTCGGGGAACAGGCCCGGAGGCGCGAAGAAAGGCGCCTTCACGAGGCCGCCCAAGATAAGAAGGTGGAGGGGCTGATCCGCAAGAACTCCGAGGCGGTGAAGCATGCCGCACAGCTGGAGGAGGCCCTTCAGGAGGCGGCGGCGGAGAAGGCCAAAGCTGACGGCATAGCCGAGGGCAAGGCAGAGGCCGAGAGGGCTGCTGCCGAGGTGGCGAAAAAAGCCGCCGAAGAAGCCCAAACTGCTAAGGAGAGAGCTGCGGCCGAGGCCCGAGGTGAGGCAGTTGCGGAGTTCCTCGCTGAGGGCTGGAGGGTCGAGGGCCACAAGGAGTGGGTTGCCTCCGTGGTGGCAGCCTCGGTGGACGCTTGGGTAGAAGGCCCGGGGGTTGACTGGTTGACTGACAGGGGGGACGCCTACTACCAGGGGGTGAGTTCTTTACCCAGCACCTGATCTACCGGAGGCTTGCCAGGCACTTCGGCGTGTCCCTCGAACAATTTGACCCCTCGGTATATGGCCTCCCTCCGTTGCAACCAGATGTCAGAGTTCCCCTCCCCCCGGGTGAAGAGCGGCCAACAATCTATGATTCTGTGATGATGGGGGGTGACGGGGGTGGAGCCGTCGGGGGTGATGCTGCCGGAGAAGAAGTCTCCTCCAAGGCTGTCGTGGAAGATGCCCCCGGAGACAACGAGGCTGAAGCCGCCGAGAAGATTAGTACTTAGTCAATTTTTGAAAAAGCCTTGTAATGAACATTTGTCACCCCTCGGCTTTGGCCATACTTTGTAATGATTACATTGACTATTTTCTGTTGTAATTGAATGATTGCCTTCGGGCTTTGTGTATATGATATGCTTCCTTTTGATTTGTTCATTGTCGAATGTATGCCTTCGTCTTGCTTGGGATGTATGCCTTCTTTTTTTTGAATGTATGTTTTAGGACTTAGAATATTTTCTGACTGTAGCTTGCCCCCGGAAGCCTTCGTTAGTTGGGCACCCTCTGCTGGATATGCCACCGAGGGTTCAGCAGCAATTAGTACTTAGAAAATTTTTCCAAGTGTAGCAAACCATAGGGCCTTCGGGTGTTTGCAGTAACCCAAATCCTAGGACTTAGAAAAATTTCCTAAGTGTAGATTCCCCCTTGAGAGCCTTCGGGATACGGCGTCCCTTCCTGATGTGTGAATGTTGGACCGAGGGCCCAATGCACAGGACTTAGAGATTTTTTGCAAGTGTAGTATGCCATGTAGCCTTCGGCTACTGTGGAGCCCCAACTGAAATATTGAATAGGCCGGGGGCCAATTCTTTAGGACTTAGAAGATTTTCTTGAGTGTTGATTCCTTGTGAACTGTAGCCCTCGATTGATAGGTAGCCTTCGGCAATTAGGTCCCTCGAGATGAGGGCGAAATGTGTAGGACTTAGAAAATCTTCTAAGTGTAGAGTTTCCCTTGGGAGCCTTCGGGAGATGGCATCCCTTCATGATGTATGAGTAGTTGTCCGGGGGGGGGGGGGGAATATGTGGGACTTAGAAAATCTTCTAAGTGCAAAATCTCCTTTGGGAGCCTTCGGGAGATGGCGTCCCTTCTTGATGTAAGAGTAGTTGACCGGGGGGGGGGGGGGGGGGGGGAATATGCAGGACTTAGAAAATATTCTAAGTGTAAAATCTCCCTTGGGAGCCTTCGGGAGATGGCATCCCTCCTTGATGTATGGCCTTCGGCTGTCACATTCCTCTAGCTGCAATACTAACTGAGCCGGGGGCCCATCTTTAGGACATAGAAATTTTCTTTGTTTGCAAGTGTTGTTGTATCGCATAGCCTTCGGCTATTGTATTCCCCTAGCTGTAGTGTTGATTGAGCCGGGGGCCCAATTTCGGGACTTGGAATTTTTCAAGTGTTGTTTCTTTGTGTAGCCTTCGGGTGATAGGTGCCTTTTGACTCTACATTACTTTGCGAGATGCCCGGGGGCTGCTCCTTCAGGACTTAGAATTTGTTCTAAGCATAAATTGATGTTGAGTCCTGTTGTTGTGAAGAAAGCCAATGAGGAGTGTGTGCCCTCGGCATACACTTTAAAAGTTGTAGAATTTGACCCTTGTCATGGGGAAAGGGCCCTCGGTATTTGTGCATAACAGATGCCTTCGGTGTCTGTTTGAAGTACCGTTTAGTGGACCTTGGATAGTCCAGTCCCTTTGTATTGTGGAAGCCTTCGGTGTTTTTGTGACCGGAGGTGACCAGGTAGTGGTCTTTGCCGTTTCCTGATGATATTTGTTTGAGTAGTATCCTTCGGGAAATAGGAGCCTTCAGTTACCGGAGGTGTTCCCGTGGGGAGCCCTCGGCTTGTTGTGATCTGTTGGAGTGTACTCTTTGATTTCTCGCTGAGTCTACTCCCCTTCACCCCCTTTTTTTTTTGGTTGGTGGTGAAGGGAAGGCATCAAGAAACTTGGTTTCTTGGTAAGGCTGGGCCTATTAGGAGACCATCAGAATACACCAATGGCTCTCCTCCCTCGGGTTAACCTTCCGAGTTCCGAGGGGATCGAGGGACGTTTCCTGGGCACAAGATATGGTGGTCCGTAACCTGCCTCCCCTTGGGGGATGGCGCGGAAAGCGCCTCATTTTTGAAAGTCGTCCCCTCGGCGCTAGACATAGTCCGTGGCCTGCCACACCCTTGGGGTGGTGGCGCGGGGAGCGTTTCGGTTTGGAAGTCGAATCCTGGGCATTTCTCATGCCTGTCATACCCTGGGGGTAGTGACGCGGATAGCGTTCCGTTTTTGAAAGTCGAATCCTGGGCATTTCTCATGCCTGTCATACCCTGGGGGTAGTGACGCGGAAAGCGTTTCAAGGAAGGGTTTTCATTTGCACACTAGTTGCAAATGGCCGGGGGCACTACGTGCAGCCGGCACCGATGGTGGCGCCTTCGGTATATGCGTCCTCGTGGGGTACGGCTTTTCGAAACAACACTTGGTGTTAGTTTCGATGTGTAGCCCCCGGTACTTGGTACCGAGGGGTCTTCTGTAGGAACACTTGGTGTTCTCTTTTGTCGTAGTTGATGTAGGCGTCTACCCTCGGTACTTGGTACCGAAGGGTCTTCAAATGAAACACTTGGTGTTTCCCAAAAGATGTTTGGAAGTTGAAAGGAGAGCATATCCCTGGCACTGGGTGCCGAGGGGTCTTCTTTGAAACATTTTGGTGTTTTTCCTTCGTTTCGATGTTTGATGATGGAGATGTACCCTCGGCACTGGGTGCCGAAGGGTCTTCTGTAGGAACACTTGGTGTTCTCAACTTTTCTTTTTTGATGTTGAAGGTGGGGATGTACCCTCGGCACTGGGTGCCGAAGGGAAATGAAACACATGGTGTTCCTTGTTGTTGGTGATAGGAGTTCCTTCCCTCGGCACTTGGTACCGAGGGGTCTTGACTGAAAACACGTGTAGTTTTCACTGATGTTGTAGGTGTTGATGGCGTCCGTCCTCGGCACTTGGTGCCGGAGGGGTTTTTCTCGTGGTGAGGCGGTGGGCCTGTAGTCAGTATGAGGGCTTGATGTCTTGAATGTATCTTCATTCTTCGAAATTGGAGGCCTTGGGCCATAGGATAGTACATTCACTAGTTATGAGGGCTTGGCCGCTCTTACATTATTGATAAAATTTAATTAAGTGGTGTACATTCCAGTGCCTAGGGACTTCTTTCCCGTTGGGGCGCTTGAGCTTGTAGGTCCCGGGTTTGATGATGGCTGCTATGATGTAGGGGCCTTCGAATTTTGGTGCCATTTTTCCTCCCTCGGTTGGTTGGCTGGCTTCCCTCCTCCGGAGGACATAATCCCCCACTTGAAATTCTCGGGTGCGAACTTTGGCGTCGATGTAGCTTTTAACTTGCCTTCGTTAGTTTTCTGCCCGGATGAAGACCTGCTCCCGGCGTTCTGAAATGAGGTGGAGGTCGAGGGCCATGTTGCTGTCGTTGACCTCGGGGTCATATTGGATCACCCTTCGGGTGGGAAGGGTGACTTCCGTAGGGGCTTTGGCTTCAAAACCGTAGCAGAGGGAGAAGGGTGTTTCACCTGTTGCTCGCCGAGGGGTGGTGCGATAGGCCCAAAGGATGTTGTGGAGTTCTTCTACCCAGCCACCGCCCTCGGCCTCCAGCTTCTTTTTGAGGCCCTCGAGCAAGGTCCGGTTGGCGTTCTCTACTTGCCCGTTGCCTTGAGGGTAGGCAACGGAGGAGAAGGTGTGTTTGATGCCCCATGCCTCCAGAAGGGCACAGAAGGGGGCTGCCTCAAATTGTGTCCCATTGTCGGAGATGATCTGCTGGGGGACGCCAAACCTTGTGAGGATGTTCTTGAGGACGAAGTGACGGCACTTTGCCTCTGTGATGCTGGCGAGGGGTTCAGCCTCCACCCACTTGGTAAAGTAGTCGACGGCTACGATGATGTACCTGTTGTTGGAGGTGCCCCTCGGCAGAGGGCCCACAAGGTCTATCCCCCATCGAGAAAAAGGGACAGATGTGCTGATGGGGGCATAGTTGACCGCTGGCCTGCCGGGGGCTTTCTGGAAATGTTGACATGCGGTGCACCTCCGGGCAAGGTCAGCACAATCCCTGGCCATGGTTGGCCAGAAGTAGCCCTGGAGAATGAGCCTTCGGGACATGGAGAAGGGTCCCTGGTGAGCTGAGCAAGTGCCACTGTGCACCTCCTCCATTGCGACCTCGGCTTCATCTGGATGAAGGCACCGAAGTAGCGTGCCATTGTAAGATCGTTTGTAGAGCCTTCCATCTTCGATGGTGTAGCTGGGAGCCCTCAGCTTTGCCAGTTTAGCACGGGCCTCATTCTCGGGTATCTGCCCTGTGGAGATGAAGGTGGTGATATCTGAGATCCAATCCTCCTGACGTTGTTGTATGTTCATAACGGGGCTCGCATGGATGCTTGAGAGGCTGAGTTCCTCGATTTTGGCAATTTTGGAGATGTGCTCGGGGGAGTCGGCCAAGAGCTTAGATAATATGTCGGCCTCGGAGTTCTGAGCCCTCGGTATTTGAGTGAGGGAGTGTGCCTCAAATACCTTAAGCAACTCCTTGGCCGCTTCCTTGTACTGTTTCATTCTCCCCTCCTTGGCCTCATATTCTTCGGAGATTTGGCCAACGACCAACTTGGAGTCACATTTGATGTGGATCTGCCGAGCCCTCATGTTGGCAGCCAGCCGAAGGCCACATAGGAGGACCTCATATTCGGCCTCATTGTTGGAGACTTTGAAGGAGAAGCGGATGGCATAGTAGGCCCTGAAGCCCTCGGGAGTAATGAGGACTACCCCTCCCCCGCATGCTTTGGTCGCGGAGGAGCCATCAGTGTAGAGGGTCCACCAGTCGTCCGAGGTAGCCGAGGGCTCCCCGTCCGTTGCTGCCCTTGCGGTACACTCCGTCACAAAGTCCGCCAGGGCTTGGCCCTTGATGGCAGGCCTTGGGCGGATGTCAATGTTGTACTGGCTCAAGAAGATAGCCCATTTAACCATGCGGGAGGAGCTGGTGGGGCTCCTCATGAGGGCGCCGAGGGGTTGATGAGTGAGGACCTGAACCGGGTGAGCCTGAAAGTAGTGGCCCAACTTTTTAACAGTCCAAACGATGGCTAGCACCGTTTTTTCCACAGGGGAGTACCTGAGCTCGGCCTCCCTTAGGGTCTTGCTAACGTAGAAGATGGCATGTTGGATGCCGTCTTCCTCCCGGATGAGCACAGAGCTGATGGCCGCCGGGCTAACCCCAAGGTAGAGTTAGAGGGTCTCCCCTACCTTGGGTTTGGAGAGCACATGAGGTGAAGATAGATATCTTTTGAGCTCGTCGAAAGCCCCCTGGCATTCTGGAGTCCATAGAAAGCCAGCCGTCTTCCTCATGATCTGGAAGAAGGGTAGAGATTTTTCCGCCGATTTAGATAGGAAGCGGTTGAGGGCTGCCAGGCGGCCCGTCAACCGTTGAACTTCCTTCACATTGCGTGGGGGCTCCATGTTGATGATGGCCTGGATTTTCTCGGGATTGGCCTCAATACCCCTTCGGCTCACCATGTAACCCAAGAACTTGCCCCCTTGGACGCCGAAGGTGCACTTCTTCGGGTTTAGCCGAAGGTTGAATTTTTGCATGATGGCGAAGATTTCCCGGAGGTCGTCAGCATGGCTGGAAGATTGTTTGCTCTTGACGATCATGTCGTCAACATAGGCCTCCATGGTGCGCCCTAGGACGGCTTGAAAGACCCGGGCCACCATCCGGGTGTAAGTGGCCCCCGAGTTCTTTAGGCCGAAGGCCATCACTAAGTAGCAGAAGATGCCCTCGGGAGTCATGAAGGCAGTTTTTTCGGCGTCTTCCTCGTGCATAAAAATTTGGTGATACCCTCGGAAGGCATCGAGGAAGGACATGATCTCACACCCTGCGGTCTCATCCACCAATTGATCAATGTTTGGTAGAGGGAATGGATCCATAGGGCATGCTTTGTTGAGATCAGTGTAGTCCACGCACATGCGGAAGGTAGGGGGCTTCTGTGCGAGGACTACATTCGCCAGCCATGAGGGATATTTCACCTCCTTGATGTGCTTAATGGAGAGGAGCATGGCGACCTCCTTCTTCACAAATTCCCTCCTCTCGGCGGAGAGGGGTCTTCTTCGTTGTTGCACCGCTTTTGCCGAGGGGTCCACCGAGAGGCGGTGGGTGATGACCCTTCGGCTAATTCCCGGCATGTCCTCCGGCCCCCATGCAAAGACAGTGGAGTAGGCGCGGAGGGCGTCGGTGATACCGGTCTTAAAATCTTCAGGGAGCTGGGCTCCAATCTTCACGACTCTCTCCGGCTGGGCCGGATCGAGCGCAAAGTCTTCTACGTCCTCGGCCGGTTCAGCCCTCGGCCTTCTTTCCTCTTGGTCGACGGTTCCGGTGATGGTGTCAACACGGAGTTCCGTCTTGCTTACCTTCTTAGTGACCTGAAGATAGCAGGCGCGGGCAATTTTCTGGTTCCCCGGGAGTAGCCAATGCCCCCCTCGGCGGGAAACTTGAGGCAGAGATGCCTCATGGAGATGATGGCTTCGAGGTCCTCGAGGGCTGGCCGGCCGAGGATGATGTTGTGGGCGCAGTCAATGTTGACGACGACGAACTCCACCTCGAGCTGGGCTCTATGGAGCCCGTCGCCGAAGATCACCGGGAGGGTTATTACCCCCTCGGAATCAATAGTGTCGCCGGTGAAGCCGGCAAGAGGGGTCTTAATGGGCCGAAGGGACCCCCTCTCCAGATGCAGCTCTCTGAAGGTGCTGAGGTACATTACATTGACAGAGCTGCCCGTGTCAATGTAAGTTCGGTGAATAATGGTGTCGTTCATCTCCGTACGAATCACCAAGGCATCCATGTGAGGAGAAGAAGTAGGAGGGAGATCTGCGTTGGTAAAGGTGATGGGTTCCTCCCTCAGTCGCTTTACCGGGGGCATATGAGTGACTTCCCCCACATACAGCGATTGAGCCCACTTCTTTCGTTGGCTGGTGGAATCGCCCCCTGTATTGCCACCGGTGATCATGAGGATGTGGCGTTTCTTCTCCTGGTAGTGGGGGTACTCCTCCTCCTCTTCTTCCAAGTTTTCGATCTCCCTCTTCTTGCTGAGGGGGATGGTGTTCGGATTTACCCAGGCATTTACCTTTGTATGGTGCCCTCGGGGAGGTCCCTGATGAGAAGGTCCCTCCTGCCGAGGGCTCTCGACAAACTGGGACAGGTGCCCCGCCTGTATTAATCTCTCGATGGCCGTCTTCAGTTGATGGCAGTCATCGGTCCTGTGCCCCTGGTGCCGATGGAAGCGACAGTAGGGGAACTGAGGGTTGATAGCGTGTACCTCCGGGGGTGCGCGAGAGTCGCGCTCAACGAGGCCCCTCTCCTCGGCAAAATCGAGGATGATGCTGACGGGGTGCGTCAATGGTGTCCGAGGGCGGTCCAGGAGAATGGGCTGGGCCCAAGTCTTAGGGTTGCTCTTATAACCTCCCCCGGGCTTGGATTGGCCTTGCCGAGGGCGGTCATCAGAGGGTCCCGGAGCCTTGGGGCGATTTGGAGGAGCCCCCGGCCCTCGGTTATGCCTGTTGTCAGCCCTCGGGGGCTGCGGGTCCGGATGTTGGTGATACTTCTCCACCTCCTCGGCCTCAGCATTTCGGTCCCCCCGCTGCAAGGCCCTTATGTAGTCGCAGGGGGGTTCAATGATGAGGCTCCTTGAAAAGTTGCCGGTGCGGAGGACGGTTTGTAGGAGGGCCAGGAGGGTCCCGTCATCAGCGCCGTCGACTTTGTCGGCCTCCGTCCTCCAGCGCTCCAGGAAATCCCGAAGGGTCTCATCCTTCTTCTGGCGTATTGTTAGGAGGTGGGAGAAGTGCTTCCTTGTGCGACGCCTCCCGGCGAATTGTGTCAAGAATCGTTGGGCGAGTTCTTGCCACGAATCAATGCAGCCCTCGGGCAGCCTATTGAACCATTCGTATGCTGGTCCCTCTAAGGTGGAGAGGAACCAACGACACAAATATTCGTCTGATGCCCCCACCATCATCATGCTGTTCTGGTATTTGTTGTAGTGCTCCTGGGGGTCCGTTTTCCCGTTGTAGGGCTGTATGTGTTGCCCTCGGTATTTTTCCGGGATCCGGGCCGCCAATACCCTTGGGGTAAATGGCGTCCGAGTCCGGAGCTGGATAGCGGGTTCCCCGGAGCTCTCGGCCACCTTCTTTTGTAACTCCTCCATCTTGGCCATCATGGCCTCGTATTTGAGATCTGAATGAGGGGTGGAGGTGGTGGCGTGAGCTTTGTTGGACTCCATCTCGTCAAGCCGGCGTTGGAGGGCCGCAATAATCTCGTCCCGGGGATCCTTCAGGAGGGTCTCCGCCCCCTGCGAACGAACCCGGGCCGAGTGGGCCTGGTTGATTTGGTGCCGGGCATCGTCGGCATGAAGGGGTGCCTTGCCCTTGTCCCGAGGGGGACGCTCCTCGTCTGCCCTCGAAACAGACCCCCCGCTTTCCTGGGGCCTTTGGAGTGCTTTCCCCCCGAGGCGGTCTTGGACCCCTCGGCGGTCTGGCCCTCCTCCGAGCCGATTGAGGGCGGAAGTACGGGGCCTTTCCCTGTTGTCATTATGGCGGTCCCAGGACTGAACTTCCTGGGAGGATGTTTCTTGGGCTACCACCCCTTCGTCGTTTCTCACCCGATGGGCGGGATTTCCGAAGGGGTGTGGCAGAGGGGGAAGTATGATATTTTCCCCGACCTGAGGGTGAGCTGGAGCCAGGGTGTCGAAGGCACCCGGGTTCTGAGTGAGCGTTTGGATGAAGGCGGAGAGCGCCGATTGTACGTCGATGGTGAGAACCGGAGGGCTGACTTGGTCATCGCTCCGGTTTTTCTTCTTGGCCTCGATGCCGAGGCGGGCATCGGGGGCGTTTTGTTGGATCTGAAGGCGTAGGTCGACAGCCGCCTGTTCCAGCCCAGCGATGACACCGCCCTCGGGAGCCCTGTGAGAGGCTTCGGGGGCGTTGACATCGCCGAGGGGCAGGTTCTTGTCTTCTACGTTCTTTGAGTTGGCACGTGTTGTCCTCTCCATTTTGATAGAGGGCTAGTGTTTTGTGTTTGGTCGAGGAAGAGGGTTTCTTACTCGATTGTTCAACCTCTCAACGAGAGCACCAAATGATGGATACTCTACCCGGGGGTATATATCCGAAGAGTTATTACGGGGAGTAACTTAGAGAGAAGTCAGAGCAAGTAAGTAAAAGTAGAGAGAGAAAATGTATTATAAATGCGGAGTGTTTTCAGCGTGTTATGACTTGGTTACAAATGGGGAAAAGGGGTGCTATTTATAGTAGCAATAAATGCCGGGCAGGGACACGTGTCAAGCGCTCATTGGCCGAGGGGTCACCTCAACTGGTTGGCGCTGGCAGCCGCATGTGGCCGCATTTAATTCGGCTGTTGGATGGGACGTCTGTGCGGGGTACGGTGATCTGTACGCATGTGAGGCGGATATCTTGTCGAGTGAGATGCTTTCGGCTATAGAGCAGTAGCCGAGGGCTCTTCCACCCGATGGCACCCCTGGTGCCGAGGGCTCACAGTGCCGAGGGCTGCCGTTTTCGCCGTTTTCTCCCAGTTTCTTAGTTTGCTTGAGAAACCCGTTCTGTGAGAATTTGGAGCCTTCGGCCAGGGGGCCGAAGGCACCCCTGGCGCGTAGTGCGGACTGGCTGGTACTCTGGGCGCTGTGATTTGGGCCCGTTGGGCCTTCTGGGTCTGTTGGGCCTTCGCTGGAGTAGTAGGAGTCTGTGGGCCGGGGGTTCCCGGGCCATATACTCCATCACAAGCATATAGGCTGCCCATGGAAGATAAATCTTAGAAAGGTAATGAACTCTCATTCTTGGAGGATTTTACAGTACCATGTCACACATGAAGGTTTCTCTTGGGTCTATCACAACAAAATGGTGAACTCAAGCAAGGTAGCAAATAGGTGGTTCAAGGAGATTGAGGGTCACTCAAACTGGAAAACCAAAGAATTTAGACAGAAAGTATGTACTGAAGAACGCTTCCATTTGAGTCTCAGGCAAGCTTATAGAGCAATAAGTAAGGCTAAGAGAAAACTGAAAGGTGAAGAAGAAGATTACTTCAAGAAGATATGGTCATATGTGGCTGAAATAAGGACCAATCCCGGAAGCACATGTGTTGTGAAATTGAGTGAAAATGTAGAAGTGGATGGACATCAAAGATTTCTGAGGATGTATATGTGTTGGGAAGCATGCAGGGAAGGATTTAAACAGTGTAGATTAGTGCTTGGGGTTGATGGGACCCATCTGAAAACAGCTACTGGGGCCAGCTTTTAGTTGCAATCGGAATTGATGCAAATAATAGCATCTTTCCACTATCTTATGCTATTGTTGAGGGTGAAAGTAGTGAATCCTGGGCTTGGTTCTTGAACCTTGTGAAGAGGGATGCTGATATCACAGAAGCAAATGAGCATGTTTTCACTTTGATGTCAGACAAGCAGAAAGGGCTAATTCAAGTTGTGAATGAATTGTTACCCGGTGTTGAGCATAGATTTTGTGTGAGGCATCTACATGGCAACATGAAGGCTGTAGGTTTTACTGGGAAAGCCATAAAAGATTGTATTTGGGAATGTAGGAAGGCATGCACTATTAACTCTTATAAAGTTGCCCTATCCAAATTCAAAGAAATTGATGGGCAAGCATTTGAGTGGCTGGCAGACAAGCACCCCAGAGAATGGTCAAGAGCACACTTCTCAACTCACTCCAAAACTGACATGTTGACCAACAACATTTGTGAGTGCTTTAACAGTGTCATACTTGAGGCCAGACAACAAGCCCTTTTGGTGTGTCTAGAAAGTATCAGGAAACTACTTCTAACAAAGTTGTTCACTAGCAGGATCAAGGCAAGGAAGTGGTCTTCAAATATTTGCCCTAGAATAGCCAAGAAAATCCAAGACACTGAGAAGTTAGCTGCAAGTTTGATTGGATATCAGTGTGGTGACAATGATTTTGAGATAATGGGAAGTCATGGCAACCAACATGGTGTGAATTTGGAGAAGAGAACATGCACTTGCAAGCAGTGGGACTTAACTGGGATCCCCTGCAAGCATGCAATCTGTGCTATATGGCTGAAATTTGGAAAAGGCCATGTTGATGCATATGTCCACCCATGTTATTCCAAGGACACCTATTTGAAGATCTATGGAGGGTCCATAAAGCCAATGGCAGGCCCATATGACTTGCCTTGGTCTGACAGACTTCCCCCTCTTCCACCTGTATATGCTGCTAGAGCTGGAAGGCCAAGAAAACTAAGGAGGAAATCTGCAGTAGATTTGAGCACAAATGGTGTCCGAGTTGCAAGAACACATATCAAATTGCATTGTTCAAAGTGCAAGAAGGCTGGTCACAATGTTAGGAGATGTCCGGATGATCCTAACAACAAGGAAAAGCTGGTATAATGTGCATCTATATTTTGTAAGCTTATTTTATTATTATAGTATATTGTATATAATGTGTGCATTAACTACTATGTGTTTACATGTAATCAGCTGCAACCTAGAAAAAGAAATAGGAAACCAAAGAGCAAGCAAAGTGTTGGAGTGCATGATAGAATTGAGGAGCCTAGGGATGAGGGGGTTGCTACAGAGGAAACCTTTGGTGATCACACCAACCTTTATGATGACCTCAACCTCATTGACATTACCATGCAGTCTGCTGAAGGAGCAAATTTTGCAAGTCAGGTTCCTATTGTTGTGAGTATAGAGGACATTGCTATGTTCACTCAAGAGACACAGGTCAGTCAAGACTCAGAAGAGAGCAAAGAAGAAACCTTAGAAGGGAGCAAACAAGATACCAAAGAAGAGAGCCCCAAAGGAGAGAGTGAAGAGGTTTCAGAAGAAGAGACTGTTGGGACATACCAGAGGACAAAAAAAGGGGTTAGGATATGTTATGGACCACCCCCTTGTCAAAAGAAGAGCAGATCAAATGTAGTCAAAGCACCCAAACTCAGCATTAAAAGGGGACCAACCTATGCTACTAGATCCAAAACAACTTTCAAATCAGTCTTCTTTGGAAATGATGATGACCCCATTGATATACATTAGTGGGTGGACTAAAATGTGTATTCATGATGCTACTTTGATGATGTAATGTAATGTATTACCTTTTTAGCTTTTTGGAAGTGACTGTATTGCTAAAGCTTCTATGTTTTTGAGATACTTTGGCTATTCATGATCACAGTGTGATCATGTAATGTATGGATTGGCATTTTGGTTGTCTATGATATCAGGTTTTTGGATGATCTCATGTAATGCATGGATTAGCAGTTTGGTTGTGTATGATCTCATGTAATGTATTAACAGGTTGTTAAGTAACTTCAAACATTGGTAGTGATGTATTAACAGGTTGTTAAGTTTGTTAACCTAGTCATAATAATTGCATGTTTTTAAAGTGAGGTTTGTGGTCCAATATTTTCAAGTCATCAGTTAGCATACATATGTGTTAAGCACATTTTCAAGCCACCAGTTAGCATACATATGTGACTCATGATCATATAACTTTCATTTCATTTCATACCAAATCATGATAATCAACAGCTTTTACAAAGCTTTTACAAGTACATAATCACACACCTCATCACCACTACAACTACATTATTTGCCTTTCAAGTACACTGAAACAATAATAACCACAACACACATAAAGCGCACCACTGTAATGCAGTTACTGCATTTTGTCTTCTTCTTCTGTGCTTGGAACCAGTTTGTCTCCAATGTTTGAACCTTCAATTCCAATGAATGGATTTTTTCTTCATAGGCATTCAGTTTTTTCAATAATCCAGGGATTATTTTTTGAGACCTTTTGCACATCGGAGGGTCAAACCACAACCTTCATATCTCTGCAAGAACATATATATTTTCCAATTCAGTCAACCAATATTGAATTTCTAAATATTTCATATATTACAACTATATATAACCTGACTTCCAATGCATTTCCAAAACCTTCTCCCACAGTTCTCTGGTTTCTAAGTTGTCAACATCTTCATCCGTTGCCCACATTCACAATACTTCACTGGAATCCACTCTCCATATTCATATTGGCCCGTACAATTTGAACTACCCGATTTTGAGCTAGACATGGCGACGGAGAAGCTATGGTGAGATGCTTGTCTGCACCCACTCAAACGTTGTTGCTATGTCACACAGACGAGCGAGTACAGTAGCTATAGCAAGGAGAAGGTATGGCAAGGGAGAAGCTATGGTAGGGAGTCTGCGTTTCTAATTTTGCGGTTGACCGAATCCTTTAAACGTTGGAGTTAGGTTACAAACCAATAAATGCTATTAAATGACGCAACTAACCTTCATTAATTGGGCTCCGGTTAAATTTAGCCGGAATTGTGGTCGAAAGGATCACGGGTGGTTACGTGGAAAAGGTTAAGGACTACATTTGGTTAAATTGAAACTCGGGGGATTAATGTTGTACAATGAATTGTATAATAATCAAAATAAATTATGATATAGTTGCTTTTCTGGCCGGTGCATTTTAGGTTTCCTTTTGTAGGGTTGGATTCATTGAAATTTATTCATTGTTAACCAAACCAATCAAAAGAACAGATGAAGAAGAGGGTTTAGGGGATGACGGCTATACCATCGGCGGCATCCTTGCCGCCACCACAGATCAAACCAGCTTGGACGGGGAGATCGTTTGCAGACATCGTCGCAAATCGTGAAGGTAACCTCTCTACTCACATATCTCGTTTTAAGGGATTGCCTGCAATCACTTTCGAGGAAGCAGATGTAAAAGCGTTGGCAGAAAAACATAGTCGCGCTCTGATTGGTTATTTCTTTAAGGGAAGACCTAGCCTGACGATTGTGAGAAGATCGTTTGAGATTATTGGGTTTAAAGGTAGACATGCTTATTCGTTTTGAGATGGAAGATGACTATTTACGATGCTGGAATAGGCAGACGTGGATCATTCATGGTAGTCTAATGCGGGTAACCAAATGGTCACAAGATTTTTGCCCCAATGTAGAATCCCCTATTGTTCCCGTTTGGCTAGCCTTTGAAGGTCTCCCTATCCATCTCCAGGATAAGAGAGCCTTATTTGAAATAACAGGTTTAATAGGGAAACCTGTCAAGATCGATCAAGCTACTGCTACGCTAGCCAGACCTGCAGTAGCTAGGGTGTGTGTGGAACTGGACTTGACTAAAGTTATGCCTACTAAGGTATGGATAAATTGTGGGTCTTATGGTTTTTATCAGTCTATCACATATGAAAACAGGCCACAATATTGTGTCTCTTGCATGCATCTTGGCCACAATGAACATCATTGTCCTAAAAGTCAGAATGTTTCTCAGCCTATAGACTTAGTTAGGGTTGATACTCAACCCAATAACTTAAAGGTTAGAGACAAATGGATACAGAAACCTGCATTGGCACAGCCTGAGGTCCCAAAGAAATTTACAGCTCAAGAGAAAGGGAAAGCTAAAGTAAGCGAAGAAGCTAAACTGAACACATCACAAGCTATTGTATTACATCACTCAGAAATACAATCTACTTCTAAGAATGTAACGAGTCAGTATATTGAGGTCCATAGTGATGATGAAGTAGATGAGGAAATTATCATGGAGGAACCACCTGCACCAACAAATATCAAACATAGTCATGAGTTTAAAAGCCAAGTTGATGCTACTAATGATGCTACAAAGACAGTACATGACTATGACCTTGTTAAAGATGACTTAAATATGCAGGAGTTGTATAAATTACTAGATTTTGATCAAGATCTAGTTCATAAGGGTTACTGCTCTGATGGTGAGTGATGGATTATAGGGGTATCCAAACTATAATAAAATGGAGAGATTTGAGCTAATGTGAGGAAGAAGATGAATGAATAGTAATGTATGAGTGAATTGTGAAATTAGGTTTACAAGAACTCCCTAAGGGAGTATATATAGAAGAATATCTGGGTTTGGGCCTCTAATATGGGTCTGACAGACCCGGTTACATAAATGGACTGATAATATAAAAGGCTAATCTAGAACACCTGAATAATAATAATAATGTACAATAATGAAAATGCTATCAGCTGAGTGTACGTGGGCCGCTGTCCGGGTCCAATAGTCGTGAGACCCGGGGGTCTGAGTCTATATACTCTATCAGTGAGAAAAGAAAAAAGAATTTTTTTCAAAATCTCAAACAAAACTGGGACGAAATCAAACTTAAAGCAGAAACTCTAATCTCGCAAAAGCAAATAGAAGGGAATCCAGAATCTTCCAGTTGTGCCCCCACAAATGAAGGTCTAGAAGAAGATGGAAATATAGACATGGAGGATTTTAATAATCAACCGGAGGAAGTTAGACAAGACACCATGGAGGTTCCAGATATTCAGAATGAAGAGGAGGGACTCACCTTCCAGGCTGTGAGGGAAGAACAAGATAGCCTGCAATCAGAGGATAAGGCAGAAGATTTCATTGGAGTTGGCAGAAAAAATAAAAAGAAAAAGAATCAAGAGGCTGAAGCTCTGTGTGTTATATGCCCAGATACAACAGTCGAATAATCTAAGAATATCGATAAGTATTTAAACAGTAGAAGAGAAATTTCATCAATAATGTATACCGTGTATATAGAATGATGTATCCATGAAGAACAATTACACAGTACTCGAACGTATCAGCTAGAGGGAGAAATTCTAGTCTACTGGCTCTACAGAGAATAATATGCGGAATAGAATGTGTAGAGACTTCGAGTTCTAGAGAGAGAGCTTCGAGAATGATATGGCTATTCTAATTTAGAAACCCTCAAGTATTTCGGCCATCTCAACTTATATTTATAGGTGAGAGACTCGAACTGCCTAATATAATTAGGAAGCAATTAGGCATGCGTGTGGGCTATTAGAGCACTTAATCAATTGGGTCTAATTCTCTCTCAGCTAATCTAATTAAATACAAAGACTCAATAAATAAATTACAAATATATTGAACACAATAAATAATATCCTTAACAAGCTCCCTCAAGAAGAATTACTAGAAGTGCTGCTAAGGAGGTTTCCCCTATACCCTCCAAATGAATTGGCTTATTCGGAACTCTAGGGGTTTAGAGTCCTCCAGCTCTAGACTACATTCCCTAGTTACTCAATGGAGGCTTCATTTGGTGGTTGTTATTGAACCTGTGGTTCAAGTGCATAAGGCTGATTTCTATAAAAATATTTTGGGTTTCTCTGATGTTTCAACTTCCCATATTAACAAAATTTGGGTCTTTTGGGACAGAACTATTCTGGACATATCACAAATTTCTTGGCATCCTCAATTCACTCATTTTAAAGTTGATAGTCAACTGTTTGATGGTTGGGTTACAGCAGTCTATGATTTCCATACTTATATCGCAAGGAGAGAGCTCTGGACAGGGCTGATTGTTATTTATGCTACTATGATAAAACCTTGGGTTGTGGGTGGTGACTTTAATGTTATAGCGAGTTCATTTATTGGCTCCTCGATTGGCAAGCCCGGAGAGTTACAGTGAGCATAAAGGAAATTCTTCTTCTATCATTAGATGTATTAATGATTTTACCGAGTGTATGGCATCTTGTAACCTGATTGATCTGCCTCATAATGGGCCTAAATATACATGGGCTGGTGTTAGAGCAAATGGCTGGGTTTGGAGAAGATTGGATAGGTGTTTGTTAAATCCTAATTTCCTCGATATTTTTGAAAAGATTCATATTTCCCTACTGAATAAGTCCCCCTCTGATCATAATCCTATGTTAATTCCATTTGACAAAAATTCTCATCATGGTCCTAAACCATTTAGGTTCCAAAACATGTGGGTAACACATTCAGGCTTAATGGACTTTGTGAATCAAAAGTGGCAATCCTACTCTACAGGGGGAGGTATGCGAGGCCTAATTTTCAAGTTGAAAAGTCTGAAGAAGGATTTGAAAGAGTGGAACAAATGTGTTTTTGGTAACATTTTCACTAATATTAAGATATGCGAAAGTGAGGTACTTTTGGCAGAAAAACATTTTGAAGAGCAGCCAAGTGAAGGAACCAGAGAAGAGCTGGCATACAAAAGAGGGTTGCTTTTACATAAATACAATCTGGAAAAGAAATACTGGAAGCAAAAAGCCAGAATAAAGTGGATTAAGGAGGGAGACTCAAATACTCAGTTTTTTCACTCTTATGTGAAAATTAGAAACAAAATTCAATCCATTACCTCAATTCATAATCAACAGGGACACACTCTTTATGATCAGAATGCTATTGGGGAGGCTGCTGTGGAGTACTACTCAGATTTATACTCTAGAAGTCCTGTGACAGATTCTAGAGACATCATGCACAATATACCAAGCATCATCAGTAATGAAGACAATAATTTTCTGACTAATCTACCAACTTTGGAAGAGGTCAAAGAGGCTGTTTGGGGCTTAAATCAGAACAGTGCAGTTGGGCCTGATGGATACAATGGAAATTTTTTCAGAAAATGCTGGCAGGTGGTTAAAAGTGATGTTCTAATGGCTACTCAAGAGTTCTTTATGGGACATTCCATCCCTAAAGGGATGGCTAACACTCTGATCATTCTCATTCCTAAGAAGGACACTCCTAGTTCTTTTGCTGACTTCAGACCAATCTGTTTATCCAATTTTATTAGTAAAATTTGTACTAAAATTTTGGCTAACAGATTGATCTCTATTATGCCTAAGATCATATCAAAAGAGCAAGCAGGTTTTATGCAGAAAAGGGACATCTCTGATCAAATCTTAATTGCCCAAGAGATGGTGCACAGTCTTGATAAGAAGGTTAGAGGTTCTAACATGATCATTAAATTGGATATGGCTAAAGCCTTTGATATGGTTTCTTGGGAGTTCCTTAATGATATTCTGTTAAAGTTTGGCTTTTGCAGTCATTTTGTCAGATTTGTTATGAACAATCTCAAAGCTACTTTTTTCTCTATTCTGGTTAATGGCTCACCTCATGGTTTTTTTAAACCTTTTAAAGGGGTTAAGCAAGGAGATCCCCTTTCCCCTTTTTGTTTATTATTGCCTCTGAAGCTTTTTCTAGGGGATTAAAGAGCAATTTTCAGACAGGAAAAATCAAGTCATATTGGATGGGTAATCAGGGCTTTCCAATCACCCATTTAGGCTTTGCTGATGATTTGCTTATTTTCCTAAATGGAGAGGCCAGATCTTTATTAAATTTTAAAAAGTTTTTGGAGGATTATCAGGGGGCATCCGGTCAGGTCATCAACTATGGGAAAAGCTCTTTTGTTTGTGGTAAGACCTCACCTGGCAGGCAGACTAATATTAAAAACCTCTTGGGAATGCATCCAACTTCTCTTCCAATCAAATATCTTGGAGTCCAGCTGCATAAAGGAATAAACAGAATGAGTTATTGTGGGCATATTATCAATCAATTTGAAAAAAAAAAAACTCTCCTCTTGGAAGCAAAAGTTGTTATCACAAGGTGGAAGGCTTGTCCTTATCAAATGTGTCCTTAATACATTGCCTCTTCATATTATGGCAGTAGATTCTCTACCTAAGAAGGTGGTCAGAATTTTGAACAGTAAAATGGCCTCTTTTTTCTGGGGATCTAAAAATGATAAGAAGAAGTATCGTTGGGCCAGCTGGGATACTCTTTGCTACCCTACTGAGGAGGGAGGATTGGGAATTAGATCCCTGAATCATATTGATAAGGCTTTTACACTTAAAATATGGTGGAAATGGAAAACAGGTGACTCCCTTTGGGAGAAATTTTATTAGAGAAAGATACAAGAGGGGAGAGAATATGATACCTAAGGTATATGACTTTGCTACTTGGAGAAGGATCTGTAGCATCCACGAAGAGGTTATAACCTTGTGCTTAGAAGATCGCACTGGTACTGTAATTTGGAATGAGGAAACAAATGGTCAGTATACTTTTAAATCTGCTTATGAAGAAGTTAGGGCCAAACAAGATGCTACTTTTACCTATGCTCACATTTGGCATCCTCAGCAAGAGCTAAAGGTGAAGCTGCTCCAGTGGAAGATCATTAGGGGCCTCCTACCTACAACAGATCAATTAAAGAGATTCGGATTAGTTCTTGAACTCTCTATGTGTGTTATGTGCAGGAAACAATCTGATAGTCTGGAGCATCTTTTTTACCAATGTGACACAGTGAAGCCAATTTGGACTTATTTTATGAAAATCTTTGGCATACCTATTCCTTCAAATGGAACTCTATGCCAAGTATTTAGAAGTTGGTGGCTGAAAGCTGGTTCTAGAAGTGTGATGGATATTTTTAAACATAATATGGCAGGAATCATATGTTGGCAAGTCTGGAAAACTTATGCAAATATAATTTGGGGAAATCAATCAGGGAACAGTGTGCCAGATACACATCACTCAAATTAAAAGATATACACAGGACTGGGCATGGACTTTTCCTAAAATAAAGAGCAGAGATTTGAACAACATTTTGAAGGAGGAACAGATTGTTTCTCCAAATTTCACTGCAAGAGGTAATGCGATTCAGATAATAAGTTGGAGGAAACCTAACACCAGACTTAAGATGAATGTGGATGCTAGATACTTATCTGATGATGCTACAGGAGGCGCGGTTATGAGAGACTCTTAGGGCGAGATGTTATGGGCGATTAGCTTTCCGATTGTTGCATCCTCACCCGTGGATGCTGAACTGACATCCTTGATGTTTGCCGCACGAAGAGCGATTGAAGAAGGCTTCGTTGGTTTTCAGGTGGAATCCGACTGTATGTTGGCTTTGGCTATGATACGAGATGCTGAAGTGCGGCGTTGGTCTAACCTAATTAAGGAAACCAAGCTCAATGCAACAACGAATAACCTGGGTTTCGGACATACTCTGCGAGAACTCCGAGAAGGAAATTGGACAACACATTTTCTGGCGTGGGAGCACACGGGCCAATGAAAACCTTCCTTAGCCCATCAGCACTTCCTACACGGGCCAGGCGGGCTTTTTACATGGACAAATTTAGCATTCCTTCTATTAGATTTTAACATTTTTATGATTGTTTTTTCAATTGGGTAAGGCGGTCAGGCCTAGCCCCCCTATAACCCAATTGATGTTCTAGTTTTTTATATTGTGGTTGTATTTCGAAGAAGGATGCTTCTTCTTGGGAGTTGGGAGGTTTTGGTCTAGTCCTCCTCCTTTTTGTATTCTTTATTTATCTTAATAAAATCCGGCAAATGTTCCCCCAGCAAATGTGACATTTTCTGGAATTTGAAGTCACATCAACAGGAAACTAACCATTACAAAAGCAAGAAACTAAAACTGTGACATGAAAATAGAATCATTTTCCACAATTAAAAGGTGGCATTGTCATTCACTCCTTCGAGCAACCAAACAAAAGCCATGACACACTACACATGCACTACGCATGTTCTATCAAAAGTATTTGCTCAATAACATGCTCTAATGGAAAACCGCTAAAGTCTGAGATTTTTCAATGTTTCTTGAAATTTTTATAACAGCTTCCTTGCATGATGCATCACAACCAGAAACAAATTCAAAGCCCTTGAAGTGCAATACAAATAAAGAACCAAGGATAATGACATTTTATTTACTTCATACAAAAAGAGAAGCTTGTTTGGTATTGAAACTTACCAAGTGACTTGCAGTCACCGAAGCTACAGATAAAAATATCCCTATACACAAAAGAGGTGGAATGAAAGCTCACACAAGTCTCATCAAAGAAGGCAAGGATGCATGGCTGCAAAGCAAATAATACATACACAACAATCTTTCATGAGTAGTGTGTAGTAGACAGAAATGCACCTAAGAAAGCATGCATTCTCCTCTGATTACACATAATAAATCATCCCAACTTCAATTTGGCTAATGTGGGGAATATTAAGTGCCACTGACGGCCCCCTGCAATTCTTTCTCAGAAATGAATACGCAATATCAATCACATACTTCTTCAAAAACGGCGACGACCTCCTCGCCTTCACGTAAGAGTGTCCCAATATGTACGCCACCCCTGCTTCCTTTGCCTTAATCAACTCCCTAAGCTCCTCTTTAACCGCCACATCCATTGTGGGCCCATCAACCAACTCAAACCTCACCCGCCGTCTCCTAACTAGCAAGTTCTCGTCATCGTAAGCAGACCTCAGGCTCTGAAGGGTTGCTGATTTGCTGCTGCTGCTGATTTGCAGATTTTCTTTGTCATCACGTACAACCATCAATGCTGAGCCGCCAGACTGAGTGCTGCTTATAACTGCCATCCTCCCATCAAAAGAAGAACTCTCAGAGCTTGATACCTGAGGTTCGATGGACTCCATCTGAATGAAAGCTGCTATGCTGTGTATAAGCTGATTCTCAAAGTCTCCATCGTTTCTCTGTGTGTCCTTGTACCCGTACCTAATGATGCACCGGTACATACGGTATGGTCTCGGGCAGACCCGTCCAATAAGGAACCGTTCCTCGGATGAAACGTAAGGGATGGGGACATACTTCACACACACAAAAACGAGTACACTGTGAAAGGCAGGAAGGTTAGTCACGAAGTGGGAGAATATGGAGGGGACTCCTGTTGCTAGTTCTGAGTAAACGAGGCCAATCCCTGGGACTCGGACGATGCCGAGTGTGGGTCCTAGACCGAGCAGCCATTTCAGTGGGACTTTGTTGTGGAGATCGAATGTGTACTTCTTGCGGGTCCCATAGTGCCAGACGAACATGACAAACAAGAATACTAGGGAGAGGACGAGAGATACCCATCCACCCTGAGGGATTTTAATGACTGATGCTGAAAGGTAGACGAGTTCAATGAAACAAAAGAAGAGGAGGAAGGCGGCGGCATATATGGGATTTCTTCCCCAGACAAACACGATGATGAGTGACATCAGAAACGTCGTGATGAACATTACTGTCATGCATGCTAGTCCTGAATAAAAAAATAAACATATCCCATGATATCAGCACTAAATTTGAATGACAAATAACAGAAAAGCTAGCTAAACTAAAACAATAACTGCACCGCGTGGTTGTATACTTACTGTCATGACTTTTTCATGGGAACAAGCCGTGACAGTACACATGCTTAATGAATTACTCTGTTCTACTTTCATAAAAAACCCATATTTAAGTGGCCCTTGCAAACTACTATAGGTGTAAAGTGTTGCCCACTTTACTTGTGAGAAACTTCTGGAAGATCTTTGAAAATATATTTGTTGTCAACAATGGAAGAAGGAAAAGACAAGAAAAAACCTTTGAATTATATAATGGCACACCCTTTTTTTTAGTGACGTAGTTTCTAAAATAAATTATCGAGTGAAAGTGGGCATATAAATTAAGTAGGGGTGAATTCAGGAAATACTGATTGGTAGCCCTGCAAAGGGGCATGAAGAAAAGCAGTGTGTTGAATACTTGAATGAAATGAAAGTCACTTACCATATGCATTTCCAATTAAAGTTACATCCTGGAAACCAATGGCCACTAACAGAGTGAGAATCATTAATATCCAATTTATTTCGGGTATATAAATCTGGCCGTAGATATGCTTTGACGTGTGAACAATCTTGACTCTTGGGAAGCATCCAAGTGCATTACATTGCTTGATGATAGAGAACGTAGCAGTGATAATTGACTGACTGGCAACAATAGCTACAAGGGTGGCAATAACAAAAACTGGCCAGTGTGCACCATCTGCAAGGGGCCAAGGGTAACGAAGAGAGCAAGTGGTTAGAAGCAGACTAGATCACACTAGGACTCTGATAGAGTTGCATTGAATCTCAAGAAAAATACTAACCAGGAACTGAATCGTAAAAACTATTTGGTACTGAAGCAATGTTTTTCGACAGAAAAGCAGCCTGCCCCATGTATTGTACCACTAAACAAGGATACACACCAAATACAAATGCAAGCTGAATGAAACGAAAGGAAAAAATAGATCGGTCAGTAAGAGATTGAATAAACTCACATGCATGGGAATTTGGGTATCTAAACTAGGGAAATGATTGAAATGATAGTATATAAGTACATCGCTACAGGGAATCAATTTGTCAATTATTTTTGCTCCATAGAAGTTCTACCTGTCTTTATTGAGAAATAGCGAATTGAACGGCTTGGTGGGTGGCTGAAAGCCATCAGCCCATCACCCACCAGTGCGGCAGAATTCACATGAGCTGACATCTAATGGTCCAAAAGACTTGATATCATTAAATAGAATGGATTCACAATTTAACTATCTTGATAGGATCTATTACAAGAGCCTCGGTAGTACTATCTACGTCCCAAAACAAAGAACTCGTGTCTGTAATATTGATTTCAGTGTTACAGAGATGACTATTTTTGGAGGGAAGTTCAATTCATAGGCAATGAATCTTCACCAGATTTGTGTATCACCGCTTTCTATCATACATTAGTTATTGGGCTTGATGCTTCAACTAACAACACTTCATGCTACTCAAAAAACTCTTTATATTTAAAAAACATTAAATTTTAAGGAGTACAGAGTAATATTTTGTACTCCTACCTAACTGTTTATTTTCACCTTTTCTCAAATAAACAATACGAATGTGTTTTCCCTGAAAGCAATTTCTAAGTAACTTTCCCTATTGGATTTCAACATGAGCAGAAGAATCAGAACATGAATACCACTTTGGTACCCAGCAATCTTAAACCACTCTAAAAAATTATCATGAGAGGCATTATATGCTAGGTCCATTGCAGCATATAGAAGAATAGTTTTCCCACAAGACGCGACTCATACTTTCATAGTGATAGAAAAACATACTTGGACTTACCCTCGTTGAGAAAGAATTGAAATGGCCAAGATTTGCAAACATTGCTTCAGTCCCTGATCCAAACAAAAGAAAAACAGGATAAAATGAAGTAATTATTAAAGCTCAAGGTATCCTTAGCCTGAATAGCTTCTCTTGTATAGTTGTACACTTGCACTATACCTGTTACAGATAGAAGCACTCCTCCAAGAGAAATCCATCCATCTTTTCCGGTATCCCGAAAAAACTTGATGACATAATACGGAGAAAGAGCGGAGACAATTTTTGGATTCCAGACTATTGTATTGTACAACCCAAGGGAAAAAATTGAAATTAACCAGATTGTTACTATTGGTGCAAACAAGAAAGCTACTCTGTGGGTACCAACATGCTGAAGAGCAAATAGACCAACCAATATAACGCAAGTAATGAGTAGGACAGCACCTATTAACAACAAATACTTTCGGTAATTAGCTGAGTATATCAGATGTATTGCACTGTATTCAATTGCTGACAACTTAGAGTCATCTAGCAAAAAAAAATAACTTCAACCCACCATTAGGCAAGCTTTCAGCAGCATCTTGAATCCCACAAACTGATGATAAAACTGTCATAAAAAATGTACACTACAATGAGTTTACTCGAGGTCAAGTGGAAAATTATACAATTGATCACTTTCACGCATCTAGTTAGTTAGGCATCCATGCTAGCATAAAGTCCACAAAACTATTTGGTTCTGTAAATGATGTTGTAGGGAAACCTTGATCTAATGATGACACTAAAACAGGTAAACACCTATGTTACCAAAACCGGACCGGACCGGGCGGGTCGACCCGGAAATCGGCAACCCGGCACCTATCCCGGTCTGGTTGTATGTGAACCCGCAAATGTTGGTAAAACCGGATTTCCCCGTTGACCCGCTTTAACCCGACCCGGACCAGCGACGGCACAAACCCGGGAAAACCGGGAATTTCTCTGAGAACCGGGAAAACTGAAAATTTAACGGCAACAGGAATCAATCATGCGCCTAGTGTAGCAACGTACAGATGAGCTTCCACTTTGCTGCTTGTGGAAGTTGAAACATGGGGTTCTTTCATCGTAGTTATTATTTGAATTGCATACAATTTAAGCTAAAACCTTTCACGTATTAATTGATACACACCTAATATAATAACATTTTTTTATTTTGAATATATATTATTCTATTTCACTAAACAATTGTGTATATAAAACTTCAGGCTCTAAGTAAAAAATACTTATATGATATTTTTAAGATTTTGTAATAAGTATAATTAAGTTTATATTACATACGTAGTAGTATTTTTTTAAAATATGCATGTATTTAAAATATCAAATAATTATGGGTGTGTTTTCAATGTTTACTATTATTATAAAGATTTGATTATCAAATAATAATTACCTTTATTTTCAATTTTATATATTCTTATATATTTATTACTCCCTCCGTCCCTTATAACTTTCCCAACTTTCCTTTTTGGATGTCCCACTAACTTTGCCACTTTCTCTTTTAAGTAAAGAATTTGTGGTTCCAATTCATTCTCTCTCCTCTGCACAAACCTCAACCACACAGTTTTTATTTTATTATTCCCCGTGCCAGTCAAACTTGGCAAAGTTATTAGGGACGGAGGGAGTAATATATTAAATTAGACCGGATTTTCCCGGCGTTGATCGGGTTGACCCGCCGGGTCCGGGCTGACCCGTGACCCAGCCATTCGTCTGGTTCTTGTAACATAGGTAAACACATTATAAATAGATTAAAAATGCCCAATATCACTCACCGTCTAAAGAAATTTGAAATTCATAAATAGACTTGATAGTTGCACAAGAAATATGGCTACCTGATATTGCAGGAGTGAGCACACCATCACCAATGACCATGCTAGCCCCTAGCAATACAACAAGGAATAAAACCGTCCGTGCCTTTTTATGCCTCTCTATAAACCGCTTCAATGGTAAAGATGACGCAGAAAGCCTAGTGGAGCCATATTTGTAAGTAGATAGCTCCTCATCAGCAGCTTGTTGATTGGGAAGTAGATTAAGTTTTGCATGTCTACAGAGCAGAGAGTATAGAGCAAAGCTCCCACCTAAGAAAATAATAATAAATGCATGCAGCAAAAAACAATCAGGTGGATAATAGTTCCAAAATCAGTCAGCAATTGAGCAACTGGTGTGAGTATGCCTGGTTCTATTCTTGCTAGGGTTAGCGGTATTATTATTCATTAGTATCATCATCATCATTAGTTGACTACTCATTGTTATTAATGTTAGTATCATTTTACTATTATTATTAGTTATAGTTTTAAATTGGTATTAAGATCCTGTTTTAGTGTAGGTCCTAACGGCTAATCATCATCATTATCATCATCATTACCCCAGTGCTGCAAAGGCTCTCACCAATGGTGGGGTAGGGGTCGGATGTATGCAGCCTTACCCCCTGCACTAAAGAAGGGAGAGACTGTTTTTGGATGACCCGTGGTGAAAATCACGTCGAAAATTGCATGGACTGACTGTTGATTCATAACAAAGAAGCGCAGACAGTTTAGTGAGCCCTTTTGCTTTATTTCATCATATTCCCAAGTCAAAAAATAGTGAATTTTTTTGGCTCCATTGCAAATGATGGAATGTTGTAGGCCCTAACGGCTAACGGAATATATTAGGACTCTAATAAATGCTGACTAAGACTCTTGGGAATAGCATACCTTCACCATTGTCATCTGCACTAAGCACGACGACTACATATTTGAGCAAAGGCATCAGCGTAAGTGTCCAAAAGATCAATGAGAAGGCGCCAAATATTGCATCTGGAGTTTGATGCTTCCGCAACTTGTCCACAAATATACTTTGATAGACATAAAGAGGTGACGTGCTCAAATCCCCAAACACCACCCCAAGACTCTGGTACGCCAACAGCAGATCTCGGGAAATGTTTACCAAACTAACCTTCACGTGCATCCATATATATATATTTATATTTATGACTTTGACATTATAGTTATAACCTTACAAGGATATTATTACACTCGCACGCACACATATACATGCATGCATGCCTACGCACATATTATGTATTTATGAATCATGTATGTACATAGAACATGATAAAGGGTACTTAAAGCTACTCAATCACTCTAGAAGGTATGTCACCAAGTTCAGCCAAATGGATGTGAGTATGCAGATTACCCATATCAATCCAATAGCTGTTCACTTGCAGGAGAAACTCAGTTGAAGAATTGAAGTATAAAGTACATGTTTATTATGAAATAAATCTTGTGTTTCATTACAACATTATAGACACAACTACCCTGAAATAGAGAAACTAATTTTGACTCTATAGGTATTGAAAACATAGTTGTCATGGCGCCATCTAGGCAGCAACCAGGCGTCCAGGCATCAGGAGGCAATCGCCAAAGCTGGTCGCCTCACATAAAGAGCACCGAACATTGAATGACATCTCTTAGGCATTAACTAGGCATTATAAGGAAACCCAGGGTTGAATTCTTACCCAAGTTTGCATTTTCTTTCTTACTTTTCTTCTTTCTTTCTTCCTTGTTTTTCATTTTCGTTTCTTTATTTATCTTTGCAGTTAGTCATTTTCCTTTATGATTTTTTTTCCATTTCCATATAAATCAGCAACATAAATCACATTGCTCCTTTTTGCTAAATTTTTGTACTTTCATTGAAAGTAAATATACATTGGACTCCCATTTTAAGTTAATATGATGAATTACTAATTGATGTATTATATTCTATACTACCTCCCGTCCCGTAAAACTTGGCCAACTTTCTTTTTTTGGCCATCCCAAAAAAGTTTGTCATTTCCGTTTAAAGTGACAAATATGTGGCTAAAGTTATTTCTCTCTCATCTGCACAACTTTCAACCAACAATTTTTACTTTATTATTCTACGTGCAAGTCAACTTTGGTCAAGTTTTGTGGGACGGAGGGAGTACCATAGATACATAAATCGTTCAAAGACACATGAACCGCGTTCCGAACGTCACGAACCCAATCGCGGTACGAAAGCGTTTCAAACATGGGTCAGATTTGTTACTATGTCCTAACGACGATCACTTTTTAGAGATATATGTACTTGATCACATTCAGTTTTATATATTTGATATATACGGTATTACACATTGATGATTAAACATTTTGATTGTCAATGTCTTATTCATAATTGTGTTCCCTTGGACTTATGTTGTCAATAAGTAAGTGAGAGCTTATATGATATAACACAAGGTCCTGAAATAGCCCCAATTAATGATCATCAAGAAAGGAATATCAATGATATGCGATAAGATTGGTATGTGGACTGCATCATACTTTTAGAAAATATAGTTGATCTCACAATTATGAGTTCTTGTAATACATGATGGTCAAATAGATATTTTAGAGAATATTGGCATACCCACCGAGAAACCATTTGATAAGTTCTATTAATGTGTCTATGGGGTTATTGGTGTATAGAGTAGAGTAATAGTCCTCCGACTTGAGGTCAATACGTACTACATGTGCGGAGTGATGTACTTTGACCATGACCAATGCTTGCACTCTGACAGGGTAGACACAACATGTGTTGGCCAATGCAAAGATATATTCGTTTTGTTAAATAAATAAACAAAGTTGATATATGTTTAATTAAATAATTAAGGAGCCCCTCCCTTGCTTATCTCTTTACTTATTTTAATCTTATTTTTATTTATTATGATTAAATAAATAAACAAAGTTAATATATGTTTAATTAAGGAGAGAAGTGGTGTGAGCCTTCTCCTCTTTCATTATTAGCATTATATCATTTTGTTTTATTTATTAAATTAATAATAATTATTATTGGTCCTGTTAGGACTAGAACTCATTCATGAGTAAGACTTTCACTGTGATTGAGAAACTAATTTAGAACTATTATAAATACATTCTCCTCTTTCATAATTATTAATTAGAGACCGGTTTTTCAGATTCAGTATTACCAGTTTATTTCCCCGCGAAGAGATTTCGTAGACTTTCTCTTTGGGAGATCTAACCATTCTTTTGGAAAATGAGAAATCACGTGGATACCTAAGGTCAAGAATTATCACCGCTAGGTTGGAAGATCTGTAAGTTCTAACTCAGATATGTTATTATTGTTATATTCATTGTTTTGTCATAATCGGGGAGGATCTGTTTGAGAAAATTTTAAACTTTCATTGATGTACTTTCCAGGTACGTTATATCAATTTCCTGACAGCATTGCTCTTCAAAACGCTACAGGAGTCGTTGCCGATCGCTATGCAGGTTGTTCGCGATCGTTACGCAAGTCGCAGGCTTGTCACGGCGTCGCCTAGGCATCGCCGACTAGGCGTCCTGGCGCTGAGGACAGGTCGCCGGAGTTACTCGCCTCGCCGGAAGAAGAAATGGCGCGCCAGGCGTCGTCCAAGCGTCGTCCAGGCGCGATGAAGGCGACAAGTCGGCGCCTTTTTCCCAAGTCGATCGCAAGCCCAGATCCCCAGAGGCCCAGAATCCCAAATGCGAAATAAAATAGATTTTAGGAAACTATTTTTTGGAAACTAATTAACTATAAAGCCCAGGCTCCAAAGCCCCAAAATAATCTACTCGTTATTCCTTTATTAATAAACTTACGAAGTACGAAGCACTGAAGCAGACGACTTCCCAGAACTCCAGGAAGAAGAGGTCTCGCAGATCGCCCTCTCTGCCTTGTCCCTCGTTGAAGCAGACGACTTCCCAGGTTCAGGCGTTCAGCTCTCTTCTCGATTTCTCGTCTCATAGTTTCAAATTTTCAATATCTAAAATTTAGTCTATTTGATGGAGCACTCAACTTTATGTTGCACTCATAAAAACCAAGTCAGTAGCTTCTCGATTTCTCATAATGACTAATGAGTTGCTACTTGGTGAGTCATTGTTTATTTTTGAAATAAGACATTAGTTAATTGTTTACTATTTAATATTCAGATTTTTAGAAAAATTGTTACTATTTAACATTATTTCCTTTTACACAAATTAATATTGTCAATATTACTTAGTTATTTGTTTTAGTTATTAATTGTGGATTTCAATTCTAAGTTATGTATACATTTTAGTTAGTAATATATTATACATAATATATAATTAAATATATAATTATATATGTAAATATATAATTATATATATAATATATAATATAAATATATAAATATATAATATACACATATAGGTGACTAGTCGCCTAATTGTCGCCTAGGTGGGCGCCTTGTCGCCTAGGCGATATGGCGGTCAGCTGGCGCCGCGACTCGACTTACCGCTGTGACAAGTATGGCAAGTCGTTCCCCTACGCTAGGCAGGTCGTTTCCCATCACTACGCAGGTCGGGCGAAATAGCTAACTCTGAACAGTAACGATCCCAGCCTTAAGCAAACAGTCTCGCCATTTCCTGGGATAATCTGTGCAGATATCTAGAATACTAGAAACGTTTGTTTGAAAAGATGAAACGAGTTAGCCTTTTCGATTACTGCTCCAGCGACTTGAAACGCGTTCGGAAATCAATTTACGAACACTTCACTTCAACTCTTCACTTCAGCAACTTGAGCCTATATAATGGAAAGAGACCTCGAGTAGATTGAGTCATGTACTTTTCTTGTTTGAAAATTGAATCAATGATTGTAGTACTGTTTTTCAGTTTTGCTTAAAAGGTTTCTTGAATATTAATGTTTTTGTTTTTGTTTAAGGTTATGCAATCATGTTATGAATTCAGTTTTTGTTCAATGTTGAGATCTGTATTCTGAAATTCAGTTCTAGTATAGTACCAAAATATTAGGTACAGCGTACCGAACATGTGGTACAGCGTACAGAACATGTGGTACAGCGTACCGAACGCGTACCGGAATGAACCTACACCCTCCGAATCGGATACGCTAGACCTAGCAAACCACGTTCCCGATCCTCGTTCCCGTACCAAAGCGTTCTGAGAACTATGTGACTATGGGGAGTACTACATTTACTTGTTGCCTAAGTATCGTCTAAGCAGTCGCCTAGTCGTCAAGTTTTGTGGGACGGATGCAGTTCGCTAGCGTCATGCCTCGCAAATCCGCCGTGACAACCTTGAGTTTGAAAACATCACAAATCATCTACCCTATTACTAAGTTCACAGCTGTACTATTTCCAGATCCAGATTCCATCACTCTAACTGCTGAAAATTATGTACTCTCCATGTTTACATTTTAAGTTTTAACTGTCTGTCTGAGCAGAAACATGTACAAATGCAACCTTGCTAGTGAAAATCAATGAGTTGGGTGTAATCAGTATTCAGTACATATATACGAATTTACTTAGCAAATTACCATTTAGAAACAAGTGTGTGATGATACTTCTTATGCGATAAAGGACAAGTCTTTTCTTGATAAATTACCGTTCTGAAAGATGATTGCAACAATGTGAACAACTCTCTACGATGCCAAATTGTATTGAATACACATGATCAGAAGAATACATGGATTGTGTAGAGTGTTAATACATCGACCCCAACATGCAACCCTCATAGCAAAGTTCACAACTTTTGCTGCAAAGACGCCTTAAGATTAATTACAGATTCTGCTATGTTAGATCATGGAACCCGAGTGGACTTTTGCGATGACCGCCTGACCTTAACAAAGTAACCCTCTAGGTCGTAGGTTGGAGCCCCAAAAATGCAGTTTATCTTTATTTAAAATTAGATAAGAAAAAGCATTCTGTAGTACTCCCTCCGTCCCTATTTAAAAGTCTCACTTTCCTTTTCGGGCTGTCCCTAAAAAAAGTCTCATTTCCTTATTTGGTAAACAAAACAGTGCGAAACAATGTCAAACAGTGTCAAACAGTGTCATTCTCTTAATATGAGTGCAAAAGGAAGTGGGACTTTTAAATAGGGGCGGAGGGAGTACTTACTACTTAGCTACGTGTAATGATCATTGGTTTTGCATTTAATCTTTAGAATTATAAAGCACCCTCTATAGAAGAGGAACAACATATCCAAAAGACTGAAATGCCTTGAACCTTTGCAGCAGCTAAGAAAAATACTCGCACTAAAGATCATACAAAAGATGAAACAATATGTGCAAATAAAGTTGGTGGAATCTAAGAGGAAGAAATTTGGGCTAACTGATGTAACCATACAATGTAAATCAGCCATTTTCCATCACATATTACTCATCAAAGAATAATGTCACTATTCACATGCAACTTTTTCACATTAACAAGAAAAACGAAAATGTTAAGACAGCTAACAGAGCATACTGGCTAGACAGGCTACAAAAGCAGGAACTTTAAAAAAAAATCTACCTTTGAATGTAGTTGCTTCTTTGTAGCACCTTGGCCTTCATGCCCCCCTACATTGGTTGAACCCTCACACGCAGTTGTTGCGAGTAGAGGTGGGTGTTTTGTGTCATCTTCTTCACGTTTGATGTCAACTTGATACATATTTATACCTGTGCCATGGGCTTTCCGCGATTTAATTTAGACACAATAAAGATTTCACAGAAACAAAAATATTGCTAATGTTGGACCAAAACCTAGCAGCCAAAATTTGTGGCAGTTGGGCAAACTGAAAACATTCTAGAGATTCTGGACAGGGGTTGGCTCGTTCGTATTTGAGGTAGCTAGCGATGAACAGAGGGATCTGGACAGTCTTTGCTCGCTCATAATCTGGAAGAAGAAGCGAAGACGAAATCTACCTTGGATGAGGAGCTACAGAATTGGAGAAGATCCGAGCAGGGAGGGCGTAGGAAACAGGCAGGGTTTTTTTATGTTTGAAATCCGAGCAAATCCGAGGGATGGGGTGAGATTATGGGTGGAATCGGTTGTGCGTGTTTTTTACACGTGATTCCTGCGAAATCATTCCAAATCAACAAAAATGAAGGGTTGTCCATAATGGGGCATTAGGAAAGATCATTCCAAAAACAATTCAGCCCAATTGCCCAAATGTTAGACTCAGTGTCGTAAACGAATCGAATAATTTTGATTCGATTCGTAATTCGAATTCAAAAGTGTCGATTCGAATTTGAGTAAGTAGAATACGAATACAAATCTATTTTTTGATTCGAATACTTTACGAATACGAATACAAATACTATGATATTCGATTCGAATAATATTCGAATATATTCATACAATATATACTACTTCTTATGAATACATATAGTTCAATGTAAAAATATTAATAACAAAATATTCATGTAAATATTTTACATATTTTAATTTAAAATTCTTACTTTATCAGGTCGAAATAGCTTAATTTACAATTAAAATTCTTCGTTGATTTATCTATATTGATATTAAATTTGAAGTGACTTATATAAATGAATTTTGTTTCCTATAAAATATGTAATATGAAAATTAGTTAAAAGGGGCAAACTAACGTCATAATTTTAATTATTTTCACAAATTAACTTTAATGTTTTTTGAATTCGAATATTCGAATTCGATTCGAAAAAGATTCGAATATATCAAACGAATCGAATACGAATACAAAATAAGATTTGAATTTTATTCGATAATTATACGAATACGAATAATATTATCAAGTATTCGGTTCGATTCGATTCGTTTACAACCCTAGTTAGACTCACCTAGTATTTCAAAATTGGTGATCTTTCGTAATGCCCCCGTTATGAAAGATCACCAATTTTGAAATCCGAGGTGATTTAGGGATGGCAATTAAACCTAACCCGATGGATACCCGCACCGAACAGAAGCGGTCAAAATGGGGAAAATCGCTTTGACTGGGTAACGGGTACGGGGCGGGAATACCCGATTTATGTAAACGGGTAATGGGGCGGTTATGGGTTTATACCTACCCGCCCCGTTTCCCGCCCCGTTTAATTTGGATACGGTTACCCGCACCATTACCCGACCCGCACAATTAACTTACATATTTTAATAGTTTATGTATTTATTATTTAATATATTAGGTATATATGAAAGTACATTAGTATATGACACTTATTCCCTCTATTTTTTTGAAAAATGTTGAACTAGCTATCCTTTGCAATTCTGAGGAGTTGGTGCTCAAAATTCACTATTTCAGATTTTAAATTTTCAATTTCATTCTTCATCCTTCCTTTGTTAACTTCTACAAGATTTATTTTCTTCACATATTGATTTTTTTATTTCCGTGATTTTCTGTACACAACTTTCACATTGTGACTCTCTTAATTTTTCATTCAATAACTTTCATAAAGCTCACATATGAGTTTAAAGTCCAAATATTGGGAAACATTACTCTAGATTGCTTTAATTTATGTAATTGCTAATAATTTTGTAGAGGTGTATTGGATGTTTAGATTAATTTTGATTGGTTGCTCTAATTTATATCAATTTTTAAATTTAAATTATGAGGTTTCTAAAACAATAACTACAAGAATACCTAAATCACAGTATTAGAAGTACATTTTTTAGAAACAATTCCAAATCTATAATCGAAATAAAAGTTGTGGACAAAAATGCGACTCTAGTAACTTTAGTGTTTATAATTTTATTCAAGTGTTATATCGTAGTGACTATAAAACTTACCCATGATAACTTATAGTCACATTTATGTTCATATATTTTTTATTAGTAATGTTTTGGGAAAAAAACTTCTCATTTTCATTATGTTACTTGTATACATTACTGTTCTTAAATTTAGATACTGAATGTTGGTGGGGTATGATTATTGAATTTTTGGAAGTTAAATGTTTTTGTGATTCATATTTAAATTTTACTATCGAGGCAAGACTTAATCTTTTGATGTTGATGTGGTAAGAGATTCATAATTTTGAATCTAGACATATATAATTTGTGAATATTAGGTTCAAAAGATTGTAATTTTTGTGATGTTTTAAAAAACTTTATCTGTGGTGCAATTTAATTTTGATTTTTTTAATTTAGGGGGTCAATTATAAGTAGTTAATCATCATTTTAGGATTTATACTAATTTTGAAGAAAAAAATTATCTTTTAATAAAACAAGTGGTGCTATTTAATTTTTGATTTTTTAATTTAGGTAGTCAATTTTAAGTAGTCAATCATCATTTTAGGATTTATACTACTAATTTTGAAGAAAAAATTACCTTTTAATAAAACGGTTACCCGCGGGGAAATCGTTACCCGCGGGGAAAACCGTTACCCGCGGGTAAAAAATACCCGACAAGTAACGGGGCGGTTTCGGGGAAAAATATTATCAAACGGGGCGGGTACGGGTAATGATATACTATACCCGACCCGAACCGCCCCGTTGTCATCCCAAGAAGGGAGTCTAAAGATTGTGCTTAATTGTTTTTTTATATAAAAATCAATCGAAATCCATTAAAATCCGTGCAAATAAGTAACAACAGAAATTCACCAAATGTTCGAGGATACCTGAATTCTGAGGAAAATCTAAACTTCATTAAAATACTTGAGAATCCGAATTGGGACACCTCCCGAAAATTCATTGATTAAATTAGAATTTTTGAACTTTGCTTTTTCTTATTTAGGATTTTTTCAAAACTTTTTTGAACAGTTGCAGACACGCAGAGATTAACGAGTTGGGTCCGTGTGTGCCAGGGCGGGCCCCGCTTGCTCATCATCTTCACTAATTTTTGTATTTTACCAGTGAACTCGACACCATACTCTCTCCGGCATCTCCTCACCATTTCCGACTGATCGTCGTCTATCTTAGGTAAATAAATTCCCACTACTTTTTCCTTTTCATCTCTTTCTCTTTTAAGTAATCATCCTTAATTCATCATCGCATTAGTGTTCGAGTTCGTGTTTTGCTCTTCGATTTGGATAATGGATGGTGATGTGATCTGAATAGCGTTGACTTGATCTATTGACGATTTTCATTGCATGAATTGTTATACCTTATAGCCTTTCCATTTATCCATCCTATCAAATCTCAAACCTGCCATTGACGATTGCCGGTAACACATTCACACATGCTAAATCAACTATAGTATTGCTTCTTCGAGTTCTACCAATTCAATCTACTTAGATACTTCGGTCCTAGTTATTACGCCAGTCATTTTTCTATTTATCTGATAATTATTACACCGATATAATATGATTGTCATCATTTTTAGTAAATTGCAGCAGCTAGGGGAAAATACGTTTTCCAATGTTCGGGTCTCATTATTTATTATTTGTATTTCGCGTTCATTATTTCACTAATATCTTACTTTCAATGTGTAGTTAGTTGGGTATCCATCTGATCTGAAAAGGGAGAAGGTATGTCTTCGTCTGAAAATCCTGAGATAGTGGACAGGGTTATCAAGGACAAGGAAGACAAAGAGGAAGAAAAGGGTGGGTTCATTGACAAGGTGAAGGATTTCATCCATGATATAGGCGAGAAGATAGAGGAGACAATAGGGTTTGGAAAACCAACTGCAGATGTTGCAGGGATTCATATTCCTCATATCAATCTTGAAAAGGCAGAAATTGTTGTTGATGTGTTGGTGAAGAATCCAAATCCTGTTCCCATCCCTCTCGTTGACATAAACTACTTAATTGAGAGTGATGGAAGGAAGTTGATTTCTGGGCTTATCCCTGATGCTGGAACTATCCATGCGCATGGTTCAGAAACTATCAAGATACCCATTAACCTGATTTATGATGACATTAAGAGTACATATAAGGATATACAACCTGGAAGCATAATCCCATACAGGATAAAGGTGGACCTCATAGTGGATGTCCCTGTTTTCGGAAGGTTAACTATCCCTCTTGAGAAAACTGGTGAAATTCCCATCCCTTACAAGCCAGATATTGATCTTGAGAAGATTCAGTTCAAGAGTTTCTCTTTTGAGGAAACTGTTGCTGTACTTCACTTGAAATTGGAAAACATGAATGACTTTGATCTCGGCCTCAATTCACTTGACTATGATCTTTGGCTGTCTGATGTGAACATTGGGGGTGCTGAACTTGACAAGTCTGCCAACATTCAGAAAAAAGGAATTACCTACATTGACCTTCCTGTCACTTTCAGGCCCAAGGATTTCGGCTCGGCTCTATGGGATATGATAAGGGGCAGAGGGACTGGCTACACGATGAAAGGACACATCAATGTGGATACACCCTTTGGAGCAATGAAACTACCCATCAACAAGGAGGGTGGTACCACCAGTCTCAAGAAGAATAAGGAAGATGGAGGTGATGAGGAGGAGGAGGTACATTAACCATTTTGTGTTCCAAGTGTTTTGTGTGTTTGTGTTTATAGTGGTGATGAAAGAGGATTAACATGTGAGGGTGGCCAAGGTTGAAGTAGGAAAAATAAAGAGTTTTTGGGATATTTGATTAAAGTGATTGAGACAACGACCCGAAAAAAGCATATTCCATATGAAAAGCCCCTATAATCTTTTGAATTTTTATTAACATAATGAAGCCAAAACAGTATATTGTACAAAAAAATAGGCTAATATACAGAATATATAAGAGCAGTGTTAAAAGGGCTAGAATTTAGTAATATTTCATCTTGTTGCTACAGATAATGCTAGATTAATTATAAGTGCGTATAAAACACTACGTAGTAGCATTTTTCATCCATAAAAGTCCCATGACCACTTAAGATTACATTTGTATAATTTCTAATAAAGAAACATGACCGCATTCTAATAATTAGAAAGGTTTCTACCGCCTAAAATAATTCAGGGTATGAGGGGTGCCGGGCCCGCTGGGGGCCTTCCGTGAAGAGGGTGGATACGTCCATGTTTGCGTTTGTGTATCTTCTGTGCCACTCATGATACATAAGAAGAACACATATGTATGATGTTTTCCTTTCTTAAGTAAAATATTTTGGTACACCACTACATATTTGTATATACAAGAATTTTGGGACATGCTATTATGTGGAGTACAAGTGAATACAACTGTTTTCTCCATTGTGATTAACTTTGAATAAC